AGAGAAACGTAAGAGCTGAAGGTATACATGTGACGAACATTGTTGATGATTTCATTTTTCGATAGTAAACATTGCAAATCAAGCAAGCAAAAGGTACGTGCTGTGTTTGCGTTATTTATATTTTCATAATACTCTTTATTACTTACACTGACACAGTACTTCGTATTACTTACAGTGTCATAGTACTTTTTATTACTTAGTTCGTGTGGAATTTTTCTTATTTCGTTTCTCAAGGTTAGATTCGAACTTTTTAAGTTAACTCCTTCTTTTTTTTTCGACTTCTTCGAATCCGAAAACGAGTATACGAATCACTTGACCATATATGTCAACCTTGATAGTTGAAGTTCAAATATCCAACTATTCAATTAGGAATTCAATGTTATTTTCGGCAGAATATCGAAATCTGAATTTTAATGCTTGATTTTCATGAAAGCAGAGAAATTCAGTACTGAATTTGTGTGAGCATCCGTAGAATATCCTTTGCGAATCCATGTACGTATTCTTTATTTAACAGTACATAGTTGAAAATTCATATGAAACGCAATTTGCAAATGATACTTACTTGAAAAGTATTTTGTTCGGACCGATTGATAGAGTCTTTATGAATGATGTTCAGCGTCAATATATAAGTGAATAAAAATTTACAAGCTGCTTAAACACAAAGAGAAAAGATCCTAATGGCGATTCTAAGTAGAAAGCATCACAGACTAGGATGGAATAAAAAATTCTTTTTGTCCTAGTATTTGTTTACAAATATGTACAAATATTTGAGTCGAAATCTTGTTTTATTCGAAATTGAGGATCTGACGTATCATGACAAAGATGTGCCTTTTGAACTTACTAAGTTCATATTTCATCCATTGAACATTTTCCTAATAATCATTAAGTTTTTTGTTGATTATTATTTGTTTCTTATAAACAAAAGATAAAAAACCGATGAAAAAAGGTACGGTATCTATCCGACGAAAAACATTTGAGCAAGAACCTTTTTAGATAAAATCGATATAATCAAAGCACATTTCAGTGAAGATATATAGCAGCGAAAGAGAAAGTAACGAAAAAGGAACACTCCGAAAGATTTTTCAGTAAAATATTTTTTTTAAAAAACTTCTGTTATTAATGCATAAGGAGAGTGAACCATAGTGAGTGGATATATCGACCGTTCAATGAACGACTACTTCAGAGAAAAAAACGTACCAAATCCATAGCAGCAACAGAGCTTCATCCTTCTCACTTGTATGTTCAAAACTCGTCCGCTAATTTGTCATCTCTCCACTTATCCACATCAACATTCACGGTTTTTGTCTGTCTCATTGTATGTATGCCTTTTGAAAATTAAAATATGGGCCGATTTTTGATTTTATACGCTCTCATCCTTTTACGACTTTCCATCACTTTGTGCTTATTAAATTGTTTTCACTGTTTATCGATAGTTCATAACTAAATGAGATTTCAACAGGCTCGGAGTTACATATATGAATCTTTTTTTAGTTTCACCGTATTCAATGAATATGTTGCAAAAATAATTCATCGCATTTTTTCACATCGATTTCACATGTCAGAGCAATAAGATTCGTGCTGCATGCGAAATCGAGATGATGATCACTATTTCCACAATAAAAATTACTTGTTTTGAGAATTTCTATATTTTGCATAAAAGAAGTAGTATATCTAAACTTCATTTTTTTCGTATGACTGCAATGAAATCGTCCATTTTCTTTCCAGAGAAACAAACACTTAATTTTGATCTTGTTTATTGTCTTTTCTAAGAGAGGATATGTTCAAATATGTTTTAGAATCATCCTTTTCCTTACCTCATGGAAATGAAGTGCTCAAACAATCTGTTTTGAAATATGATCAATTTCCTTGATTCCAAAAATGGTTTTCGTTTTTTGAGATTGACTATGTGTCTAACAAAAAGTCATGGACTTTCGAAGCAGTGACTGCTACGATTATAACAGCATATGAACGATTTGAACTAATTATAATGCATTTTAATCGCTTCGTAATCAGTTCTTAACCGTTTATGAATCAATTCAGATGTTTTGTCATTCGAAGGTTTTATATGGAGACGAGAAAAGTGAGTAATTAAAGAAGCTATGCTTAGCTGTAGAATGTTTGCAAAAGAACATATAATGATTTGTTCAGAACCATTTTTTTCCAATAAAATGATGCTGATTTTCTCTCGCAGAACCTTGTCGAAGGTTTTACATTTAGTAAATAAACGAAGTAAGCTTCATATGAATTTCTTCTATTAATTTTTCTCAATCTTACACTTAGCGCATTGCATTTTGAACACATTAGAAGAGATCATGTTTTAAACTACATTATTCACTGATAAAATCGATCAACAGCATTATATTACGATTACGAACACGGATAAATAATCACTTGGTTATGGCTATATATGAAGAGACTGTCACTTCTACAGCAACCTCTGAGAACGACATATCTTATAAAAAGTATTCAACAGCAGTACTATCAAAAAAAGATTATGTCGTTCATTTGAAGGGTTTAGATATTTTAAGATCTTTGTTATCATTAATCGTAACTATATTTCATTATCAACATTTTTGTTGGTTCTTCCCTCGTACTAAAACCGAGAAATGCTCAATATCGATGCCTTATTATAAATATTTAAATTGGATCTATGACCGGTTCGGCGCCCATTATGCTGTTTCAACTTTCTGGTTAGTTAGTGGGATCACATTTTGAAGATCTACAATGAAAATATTTCTGAAAGACAAGTCAGTTTGAAAGAATATACTATCAATCGATTTTCTCGATTATATCCTTTGCACATTGTATCATTGCTCTTAGTAGCAATTTTGCAATACATTTTTCGTTCTATTTACAAAGCATACTTTATATATATTAACAATACGAAAGAAGCGTTTATTGAAAACTTATTATTTATTCATTCTTGGAAACAGACATTTACTTATACATTTAATGGACCATCTTGGAGTGTCAGTACGGAAATTCTAATTTATTTTTTATTCTTCATCCTTTCGCATGGTCATTTGTTAAAAACTTTACCTAGAACTACTGTCGTCTGGATTTTTTTTGTCTATGCAGCAAAGACAGATCTTATTTTCGCGAATTCACATACAAATCGCTGTTCTGCGCTTTTCTTCACTGGTTGTTTAGCCATACAACTAATGGATGCTTTAAAAAAGGAAGTCTTCAAACTGCTAGTCGTTGTGTTTTTGCTTGTTTTATTAATATTACATACGGCTAATCATTTTAACTTCGGTGTAATGAACGATCTATGTTATCTATTATTATTAGCTACAGGACTTGCAGTTCTTTTCATTTATGTATTCAATTTGAAAATATTTAAGAAAATTAATCCTCGTTTTTTCAGTTGGTTTGGAAACATGACGTATTCGACGTACATGTTGCATTTTCCCATTCAACTATTAATAATGCTTATTATAAGACCGAGCAACAAGGAGATTTTTTCAAAAAATTGGACGTGGTTAGCATATAATTTAGTGATTCTAATGGTGGGTAAACTTTGTTATGTGTATTTCGAATATCCGATCCAGTCTTATCTACGAAACATGTTTACTGAGTCAAGCTATATATTCAGTAAAATAAAATGGTTTATCGACTTTCTAAAATCGAGTATGTGCAAACTAAAAAAGCCGTTGATGCATATCAGGAAGAAAATGGGTTATTTTAAAATATTATCAAACGATACACCGTTATTGGAAATGGAATCAAATTTAACCATATAATGAAAGAAGCTTTAATTCACAGTATAAAACTAATAAATTTTTATTTAATTGTATTTTTGAATGAATAATAGTTAGTGCAAAGAACAGAGTATCAGATTCGAGGATACTTTTGTTTCCTTATTGAACTGGTATCTATATTAAAAAATGGCGAGCATCCTTCATTTTCTATATAATAGTTAACACAGTCATTGTGTAAACCTGATCAGCAGTCAATAATATCTAAAGAGGATGTGGATGTTGGTGTGGGTGTGCGTATAAGCAAGATCCATATCCACAACCACCCACATCCAAACTCGCACCCATCCACACCCCACACCTACACCCACACCCTCATTAAGAACTTGCTCATAGGTCGCAAAAAAAGTGTTTCTTTGTGATCTCAACCTTTTCACTTTTATATCAAGAATCTCATTAAAAGAAGAAAGGATATGTACTGTGTTGAGAGCATGTTTAGATTCTTGGATGATCTGGTTTTCGCCATTGTTGGAATGAGTTTCATCTGAGAAGGAAACATATCCAACTGTCGTATGTCATTCAATCCATCGTTCAGCTGAGAGTAAATTGACGAAAATCTCATTATCACATGGGTATAAAAAAAGGAGATTTTTTTTTGCCTTTCTCTAAATTATTTTCGTTACTCGGAGAAGGTGACGACTGAAATTTTGAAGATAGATTTTCATTTGATGCTGCGAGATTGACTCATATTCAGTCAAAAAATGTGGATGTGAGTGTCTTCTTTTTTGCCAACATCTGTGTGACGATGATGTGACCATCCAGGCATGCTATGGATACGAATTCTTTTAAGGTTTTCTTAGTCTTATTGAGCCTTACTCACAGCCAAAAGAAAGATGGGGATCGAACCGCGTTCAACAGTTAGATATATTCCCTCGTAAGAATTTTACAAAAATTGTGCAAAGACAATGAATACAACTCAATGTAGAAATAATCAATAAAAAAAAATTTTTTCATGATCACATCGAATTATACCAGTTGATTGAAGGTATAGACAAATAATCAACCAGTATATTGAATATATGACAAGAATACTTTAACATTAAGTTATGTTTTTTTTTTGCAATTATAATTACAAATCCAAAAGAACTACGTATCTTAACCCATCATCGTAAAAAGTTTTGTTTATTCTAATCTAAATTAGAATGATCTATTATTAAAATATCATTAATAATTCTAAGAAGATAACAATCGATGATTAATATGAAATTTATCTAAGTTAATATTCAAAAAAAAAACAACAATTCAAAAAAGAGAATGTTCTGTTTCATTCTCAATACATTGTACATTTGTCGAATAATCACATTGATCAGTAAGAACATTATATCGAAGTGATGCCTGACAATTTCGACTTAATAATATACCATTTTTATTTGGTCCATCTAAATTTTATAGATCAGAAAAAAAAATACAGATTAAAAAAATTCCTACCATATCCATAATGAATACATTCAAAATATTTTCCTTTAGCACAATTATATTGATCAGTAAAACGACCATTTAATTGACATCGAAAATATTCTAAAAGACAAAATAAGCAACTAAAATTTATAATTAAATTCAAAATCTTCAAACCAATTTCACAATATTTTCCAGTATATCCACTTTTACATAAACAATAAGGCGAAACAGATAAACCTGGTAAATTTTCATAACAAGTACCATGATTAAGACATTGCACTTGTCGACAACTATTACTTGCTAAAATAATAATCAATAATTAATATTTAATTTCTTTGAATATTTAATTAGTCAATATTTAATCAGATATATATGTATCCTGGTTTCAATCTTAATCTGGTTTGTAAATGAATTCACACAAATTTGAATATTATGCCCGAGACAATAGAGTAGTATAGGATTGCTCTATCCTACAAGGTAGAGTAGAGTAGAGTAAGGGTTACAGAGTACAAAAAAAAAAGTTTACTCTATATGCGCCTACTGTCAATGAATAAATCCTTTCGCTTAACTTTTAGATATATTTTCTTTTTTAAAAAAATCCTATCAGTCGAATTCAATGGTGAGTATGATAAAGGTGCAGTTGATGGATATGTCGATAACAAATAAAATTCTTACATAATAAATTTTCACAAAAACGACCAGTAAATCCATTTGGACATGTACATGGTTGTGAACTTATCTTTGTACATTCACCATTATTTTGACATGGACATGAAAGATTCTCAACTGTCTTTAATGAACCTAAAAAAACAAAATATATTCTATCAAATAGAGAATAATAAACGTTATTATGATGAGAAGAACAGGTATATTCAAATTTTTGATTGTGAGTGTTAGGGAGCTGTAGATCCTTCCAGACCCGAGCGGGTCCAAATTTTAAACTTTATTCGAATCCGAATCCACAAAAACGTGAACCCGCAGGTCCCTAGTGAGTGTGCTCAAGGCTAGAAGACTTCGTACGTTTCCAGATCACTGGCATATACAACTCTTCAATGTGCTCTGTCAGTTAGATCAATTAATGTGTAGAGTATTGTTGGTCTGGAGAAGTTTTAAGTCTGAAAAGATTAATTTAATAGATAAATAATGTCGATTTTAATAAAAATTTGTTGAAGAAAAAGTTTCTTGAAAAAATAAAATTTATTCGATCATATTTTATATTAATTATAATCAAACAAAGATTTTTCTATTGTAAATAAATAATTCAATATAAATATTTTTTTAATATCTCAGAATAAATTACCTGTATTAGGTAAACATTGTGAACGAAAACTACCATCTGAACAAGCACATATATAAGATGATCGAAGATCATAACAGACACCACTATTACCACCTAATTGAACACATAATTTATAATCTAATTCTTATTATCAATATCTACTTACAAGGATTCGATGAACATTGATCAGTATCTTGATAATTAAACAAAAACAAAAAATAAAATATTAATAAATAAATATTAAAAAAGAACTTACTCGTCTCACAAAAATGTCCAGTAAAACCTGAATTACAATGACATTGATAACCATTTATTGTCAGAAGACATTGACCACCATTCATACAATTTTGAGAATTCAATGGATTGCATATATTTGATAAATGTGTCATACTTGGAAATATGCGAGCTAAACTACTAGCAGATAGATACATTATATCTAATATAAAATAAAAATTCATATAATTTATATTTAATAGAAATGAAAAACAAAAGTTCAATTATCTTACTCTGACAAGACATTGCAAGTTGTCCACTTGGACATAAACATACATATGGAAGAGATGGATCATTAATTTGAAAACATTTACCTATACCACATAGATTATTTGAACATGATGAATCAATTTTTTCTATTAATGAAAACAAAAAAAAATGAAATAATATTTTTTTTTTAATTTAATTTTTGAAGAATCATTATACAAACCATTACAAATTCTTCCTGTCCATGTTGGTAAACAATGACAAATAAAACTTGTTAAACCTTCAATACATATTCCATTAATACATGGATTAGAAGCACAAACATTATGAGTAACTAAATATTATTGACTCAAATAAAATATTTGACAAAAAACAACAATTATTAAAAATAATATACCGTTACAATTTGTTAATGATATTATATCATCAGCACATCGACATAAATAACCATAAAGTAATTTTGGTACAACTTCACATGTTCCTTGACCACATGGATTTCGTGAACATGGATCTAAATTAAGACAAATAATAATAATGAACTATACTATTAAATACAAACTTTCAGATGGACATGGTAAAATTGTATTAAAACCATTTGAACATTGACAATAATATGGTAAAGTAGGATTTGTTGTTGTTATACAATTACCAGAACCACAAGTAATAGAATTACAAATATCTAGAGAAATTTGTTTTATTTTTTCTTATACTATATAAATAAATATTGATTATTTATTTAATTACCTTCACTATAAACAAGATGTTTAACAGTTAAAAAGAAAAAGATCATAATCATTTTTTGGTGATCCATTGATTCAATACTCTTGATGATGAATGTAAAAAAAAAAGCGATTAATGAGCATATGATTCGATCTATAATTTAACTTTTCTCTCTTTTGCTCTCCAATTTCGATATATATGCTCACATAATGATGTACTCTGATGGCATCATTTAGCAATTGAAGTCATTTGATCACTGTGTCTGTCTCGTCATTTAATGGTACAATAGGCGTAGTCTTTATCATCACGTATATACTTTAAGAGTAGAACCTTGAAAAAAAAAAGTGGATACAATATAAATTTAAATGTAATATGATCATCAATTATCAGACAAAGCTAGTAGACAAGACATTCGATGATAGAATTACAAAACACAAAACATGTCATTATAGAGAATAGAAACGAAACAGAATATGAATGTTTTGAAAAAGAAAAAAGAAAAATTCAGGTGAAAAGAAATTTCAATAGTGCAATTAAGAATTGTTTTTTTTTTACATATATAACAATATTTGACTTTCAATCTTGTGTATTTTTTTCACATCCATGCTTATTTCATGCTCAACAGTCGTATATACATACATCTTACACTAAAAGGATTTGTATTTTTTGATGACAATACAAAACGTATGTAGAGCAAGAAAGAAGAAGAAGAAGAAGAAGAAGAAGAAAAAAGAAATTTATAAATTGTTTCAAACATTATTTAATGTAAAAAAAAAAAAGAAAAACAACAACGCGCGACATCATGAGCTACGCAACAAATCTTCTCACAGCTTATCCTCCTTCATATGATCTATCTACATTAATGAGTGATGATCTTGTTCAACGTTCATCATTCGGAACATTCTATGAATCATCATCTATTCCTTATACAAGTGGTAATCGTTTAGCCAGTGATGATTTCACACATAATCAATTAGATCTTGGTCCAACAACATATCGTTCATCAATCTATTCTCAGTTTCCATCAGCAAATTATCGAACACCATCAATAACAGATTGGCGTCAAAATGTTCGATCATCACAAAATCCATATACATCATTTAATAATATAAAAGAATATTCTGATAGTCTTGGTACATCATCAAATACAACAACAACAGTATCAAGTGGAACACATTCAATCAATGATAATAATATTAATGGATCAAGAAATATATATTCTAATTATCAACAAAATTATAATCGATTATTTAATGATGTTGATAGAAATCCACATATGTCAACTATTTGGAGTCCAATACGACCAACAATTCAAACAAATAATGAAAAATCAACATTATCTATTCATCATTCACATCCTGAATTATCAACAACTATTGTACGAAAAACATCACCTATTGAAATATCACAAAAAATAGATAAAACACCAGTTCAATCACCATTAACATTAACAAAACAAGAAAATAATATTCAAACAAATTCAATATCAAATAAAATTGAAAAACAACAAGCATCTATTGATATTCAAACATCATCAAATGAAAAAAAAGATGAAACATCAACAAATGAAAAACATGATCAACAAGATTGGACAATTAAAATTGATAAATTACATACAATGCAAGCACAACGTGAAAAAGAAAAAGCCAAATCATTACGTGCATTACCAAATACATCAAAAAAAATTGATAATCAACCAATAATAAATAAATCAATAACAACAGCAACAGCAAATGATAATAGAGTTCGTGAAGCATCATTTCAAATGAGAAATGGTTCATATTTTGATTCACTTTTTGATGGAAATTTTTTTCGAAAATCTTCAATTACAAATCAACAATATACAAATTCATCTCCTCAACGATCATCAACAATGCGAAATCAACCAAATTCAAATTCATTTCGTAAATTTTTCTTAAAAAATAAACTATTATATTTAATATGAAATTTTTTTGTTTTAGATCAACCAAAAACAACAATTTATCCAAAACATATTCTAACAAAAAAAATTCCTCAATATGAACCACCAAATATTATTAATAATTCAAAGAAAAAACAATTATCAAAACAGGTTAATTATTTTTAAAGATTAGAATAATAATTTGCCAGATAATTGTTTCTTGTATTCGCACATATATATATATATATATATTTCTAATTTCGATTTACTATATTTTAATTTTTTTGGTTATTTTAGAATCAGAATGATTCCGTTACTCCACGTGAAAATATTCATAAAGATTCAGATGAACGATTTCGTGAAGCTTTAACTAAATTTCGTTCAGATCGTGCTGAACAACAACAAAAAGAATCAGTAAAATAATTTGATTTCATTTGAATAGAAAAACATGGTTTTTTTTTTTCTTTCTTCTATTCATTTATATAGAATGAATCAACAGCAAAACGTTTAAGTTATGGTAATTATGTTCGACGTTCAACTAAAGATGATTTATTAAATAATGCTATTAAACCATCACCATGGTCGGATTTTATCGATCTTAAAAAAGGACATCTTTATTCGTTGACAAAAGAAGAAAAGGTTTTCTTTTTTCTATTTATTACATTCAACAAATAAAATTTTTAATTGTCTTGATTTTTGGTTTATTAGAAAGACCTTTATAATCAATCAAAATCTTATGGTGAACGAGTTCGTTATCGAAATTTTGTTTTACTTCATGGTGTTAAACCAGATCATGTAGAATATCGTCCACGTCTTTGGCCTATTCTAAATCAAGTACATATTCAATTTTATTCTTATAAAAATTTACATTATTATTATTACTATTATTAATAGGAACCTCAATCAGGTGATGAAACAACATCTCATGAAGAAATAAATGAAAATAATGATGGCGATTTAAAATCATCAAAACGATCTAGTTCAAGTTCAACAATAAAAACAACAACTAGGACATTTACAAAATATCCAAATAATGAAAAATTAATTGATAATCAAAAGAATCATACATCGACGTTTACTGATCAATCAAGTACAAATCGAACATCGGATTATGAAGATGAAGATGAAGATGTATCCGATTTTGAATTAAGTCGTAAACAAAAACAAAAAAAACGTTTTCATAAACATAATTCATCTGTAAGAATAACAAGTGGAACTGAAGAAAGTGGTAATGATGAAACAAGTGAACAACAAAGTATTCGAATGAAAAATCGTGATACTGATGATGATTTATTTACTGTACGAGAAGAAAAAACACTTGAATCATTGGAAGGTGCACGACATAAAAAACGATAGATTGTACGATGAAAAACATTTTTCTTTTCTTCTTTATCATGTGTTTTTTTTTTAAATTTATTGATAAGAAATTCTTAATACAGGGTATTCGAAAAGTGTTCTATGGAAAATAATGTTAATATGTTTTCTTTCAGTAATTCAAGCGATGTGTAGAACTTTTTATCATATGAAAATATATTATTTGAAATTTTACTCTATGTATTTGTAGATAAAGTTTGTCTAGTAAGTTCTGAGTCTCAACAAAAATTAGTTTATATGTCAATAAATTCAATCAAATAACGATATACATCAGCACATTCCATAGACGACTAGATCCATCAGTTTCAAAATTTTTCGGACTTGAGTCCAATAGATTCTAGTGAAGCAAGGACACACACACACACCGTTCGAAATTTGTGAAGTTCACTGTGATGAACATAATATTCAAATTCACTTGATAAAATAAGTTAAGATTAAATCAAACATCCTAGAAGTATATAAATCTGATTATATCTTGCCTAATTAAATATTCTTTCGTAGTATTTTTGTTCAAAAATGCAACACTGTTTCTTAAGAAAAATTATACTATAACAACTTCTTTCCTTTCCATCTCGATTTTTAGACGCAATGCATATCTTTAAAATGTGAGTTGAATTACAGTATGTCAAACATACTTTCTAACGCTTCATTGAAATAAGCACAGTAGTAAATTAACAATGTTTTGAATGATTTTCAAAAAATTATAGAAAAAAAAAATTCAATTCAGTTCATGATATTTATAAAACTAAGCTATTATTTAGATTTAAGCGATTGAGACAATCTACTTCATTCAATCAAAAATAGTAGACTGAATTATGATTGAATATCTTAATTCAAAACTAATATTTCTGTAGTTCAAAATATCATATACATAAATCAAAGGATTGATGCATAAAGATAATCTTTTGATTAATAACTAAAATAGTATCTTCTTCTTCTTTTTCTTCATCAGATTTCTAATCGATAAAGGAGATAATCATGCTTTAAAACAAAAAAATTCATCGAAGAAGAAAAGTCATATACAGTCGATTGTGCAAAATAATAGGAAGGTGGAAACAGGAATAGGATATTCGAATTTTCCGGCTTTTGACTATAGTCGAACAGAGCCGCCCATCAAAGATGATTATTGTAATATTACTTTCAATTGTCTACCATTTTCTGAAATCTTCCAATCGGAAAATCATAGATCTAAGCAGAATCTATTCTGTAGTAAAATACGAATCGAAATTATTAATTCAACTAGACAAAATACATCATTTTTTTGTTTGTATGAATTAAGAATAAAGATAATACAAATGTAACTATTTTATTTATGGACATAATAGGAATTATTTTTCTTTATCCACAATTATTTCGAATCAATATAGCATTTTGAATTAGTTCAATAAATAATATCAACCTTTTATATTTGTCATAGATATGTATCGATATCACGAATGAATTATTTAAGAAGTTTAAAACTAAAATTAATCCATGATGAACTATTCTATTTTTAAATGATTAAAATAGTTAAAAAAATTATCGAAGTATGTTCCGATGTGAGTAAATTATTCTCATTTTTCGTTTTTAGTTCCATCGTTTGTTTTTTGTTTACCAATTCTCAAAAAAAAAAACGCTCGACTTCCTCCCAAATACGATCAATTTTAGCAAAAAAAAATCTTCCAACTAGCCTCCTGAGTCATCAACTGTAGATTACCGAATATTTTTGCAACATTAAGAATGAAAATAAACTACTGAATAAATCCAAAATACTCGCTGTCAATTTCTTATTTTAGAAATAATCATCATAGACAAAAATATTCTGAAAAAAATATTAAAATAATACTAATATTTATCTAAACTATGAATAAAAGTAAAAAAAAAAGGACAATATACTTCTATTTTTAACAAAGGACAACGAAGCACATAGTTTTTTTTTATTCGTCGCTAAGACGCATTTTATAACAACAACACCATTTAATTCTCTCGTTTTTTCTTGATCGTTCTGTTTAATTTCTTTCTATCAACCATTTACTTTTTATTTTCATTATTTCGAGTTTTTTTTTTTTTTTTTACTAACTTATGTCTTTTTACGTTTTCTGAATAATAGCATGATTTTAATTGTTAAATTATATTGACTTGAAGTATGTCAAAGTAATTTTCTGTATACATTAAAAGAACGTCTTTTTTCTTTCCTTAGTGATTTTTCATATTGAAATAATTCTTTTTTCTTTAAACCTTTATATCATATTCATAGTAAAATGAAAGAAAATTTTCTGCGTCAAAGGGCTTCAGCTATTACAAAGTAAACATTGTGCATTTGTAAAAGAGCAACATTTAATGGTCTCATACTTAAACATATACTGAATGTTTTACTTTATATGTATGTTATAGTAATAATATAGAGAAAAAAAAAATGAATGCTCTCGAAGAAGAATACTCATTCTTGGCACCAACATGGAAATTACCTTCTATAGGAACTACATCCATGTATCCTGGTACTTATGATGCATCATATTTATCTTCTGGATCGGGATTAGATTCTGAAACTGTATGTAAAAAGACTAGCAACATTATTTTGTTTGATACGTACAAAGATTAAGATTTATTACAATTTCATTTTTGTTTTTTTTTTTGTTCTAAGATTAATCGGAATAATCAAACGTACAATCCACGATATGTTCCTCAACCTACAAATTATCCTCAAACAACAAATCAACAACCACGAAGACGTCCGATACCATCCGGTCCACCACCACCTCCTCCTCCTCCTCTTCAAACTCATCAACATAATGAAAATTTGAATGTTAATCATGATTTAACAATCAATCATAATTCACAGAATGATGAATATAATATACCAATACAACCACGAAATAATAATGGTTATTCAAATCAACAAATTGATAATCGAAATTTAAATTATCCTTCACCACCTCAACCAATACAAAAACGTGTACAAATTATTGATCATAATCGTCAAACACCATCAACAGATATTATATCCGGTAGAGAAAGTCATAATTCTTCTCCATATAACAATAATTATCATTCACCTGAAATCAATCAAAATCACCAAAAATTTAAATCACGTCGTAATCAAAATGATGATAATAAATCTGATTCAAATGTTCAACGTTCACATAATTTTAATGTTCATGAATATCTTTATGGACTTTCAGCACCTCATCCTGGTTAATTATTTTAATATCGATTGATAAAAAAAAAAAATATTTTTTTTTTTTTTTTCATTATATAGGTAGTTATGTAAGTGCATTTAAAAATCATCGACGTCGTTTACAAGATGAAAAATACAATCCTAAATCAGTCATGACAGAATATAAAAATTTTGTACAAAATGGTGGTTTTGGTCCTGCATTTAATAATTATGATCATCTAGCATATGAACAAAAAGTTCGAAATTATTAAATTTTTGTTGCTTTTATTATTCCATCTATGATTTTTATCTTAATTTTCTAGCTTCAAACAGAAAATAAGAGAAAAACATATTCAAAAATAGTTCGTACAACAAATCAATATAAAGTTGAAGAACAAAAACGTATTCAAAATAATGGTGGACAACAAAGACATGGTGTATATGTTTCACCTATGTTAAGACGTCGACCACCAGTAAGAAAAAAAAAAAAAAGCTACATATATAATAATTATTTAAGATATTTAAAATATAATCTTTTAGCCTGATGCAACACGATCGCATTTTTTATCTGCAGAAGAGGTGAGAGAATTTGAACGACGAATCAAACGTGAACATGATGCCAATTGTAAATGTTCTTTACATGCAAAACCCAATCATTCATCTACTTAATTTAAAATTAACAAAATCTTTTATTTTAACTAATATTTTCTTTTTTTCTCCAACCTTTGTTTACTTATCAAAATTAAGTTCTATCTACATACTTGCTTATTTTATAAATTATTTCTACATTGATATTTTTTTTTTAAAACTCAATATTGTTTGTTTTTTTTGATTATTTTGCTTCAATGATGTAATGCATTTCAGGCTAATGGATATGCAAATTATATCGAAAAATCTCATGATTTAAGAGCAACGGTACGTTTTGTTTGTCCCTATTTTTTTCAATAGCATCATTCTATGCTTTACCTTTTGACATTTTTCCTGCTGATTTTGTTTTTAACAAATGTACAGTTAAATGATTCAAAGCTTATTTTCTTTTTGTTTTGTTGTTGTCATAAAAAGCAAAAGGTGAGCAGAGTGAAATTCTATTCTAAGAAATTTTCTCTATTTATGATGGATGTCAACAAAATGGATTGTTATTTTATCGATAAGCATGCTTGAAGGTCGTTGCTACGTTTACTATACACGTTTTTGTATTCAATTTACATATTTAAACATTTCTTTTATATGTTAGTCACGATTAGGAATACCATATCGATATTCTATCCTATCACCAATATTAATAGCATCATTACCAACTCATCGATATGTTTTGAATAGTCCACTATTACATCAATCTATTTTTGATAAACTTCATCCTTGGAATCAAAATGATATATTATCAGGCGAATTTTATGTAGATCGAACAAATCGATCATCATCAATTTCAACTTGTTCTCATTTATCCAAAAATAAATCATATTCATTTTTGTAATTATGATTTTATTCAAAAGTCAATTAGGTACTTTTATTGATTTACCTATTCAAAAATATTCATACGAATATTTTTCATCGAAATGAATCTAGTTCAATTAATTTTCGTAGACAAAAATTAGCTTAAAAAACAAAATTCCATTACTTTCACACAGTATGATGAAAAATGATATACAACTACCACCAACAGTGAAGCTAAAAAACAAAAAAATCATTAACCAACTATATAGATCAAAAAGAAAAAAGAAAAGAAAATTCAACGATGACAACAGCATCAACAATTACTACAAAAAAACCTATTCTTATTATTAAATCATCGGAAAGTTCAACATCAAAATCCATATCACGAAATGTTCATTTTGTTCCAGACATTATAATTATCAATGACGATCAGGTTATTCTTTCGAAGACTATTCTGTAATTCATCTCATTTTCTTTTTCAACAGTTTACAATACCCATTCAAGATTCATTAACAATACAATCAACAAAAAAAGAAGTCGACAATGACAAAACCAACTAGATAGATAAAAACTAATCAAGAATGTAAAGAATCACATTCAACTCCTAGAATCTAATAAAAATTCTACTGATGAATAAAACAAAAAAAAGAACAATTTTTCTTTTCTTATTAATAAAAAAAAAAAAGAAAAAGAAAACATATTCCACTTGGATAATTATCTAACTATATTCATATTCGAACAACTCGTGCACGAATTCATTAAAATATATGCTAGTTATGATATCTAGCAAACTTACAAAAACAGCATTCTTTTTCCTTTGATAGTTTTTTTCTATTATTCGGCTCACAAAATAGAATAGGATTCTATCTGTGAATTATTCATGCGTAATATCATCGAATTGACGTTTGTTAATAATCACTTATTCGTCTTAATTATTTTTTTTTAAACTCTTATATTGAAACAAAAAAAAAATAAAAAAGAAGAAACGGATCATTAATAATAATGATAACAGCAAAATACAATACATTATGCTTTTAACAACGACAAAGATTACTTCCTATGATATTATTTAATAGTAGAAGAGATAAAAAGAACTTTTCTTTTTCTCTCGCTCGCTTTGTTTTTCATCGTAAGGAATTCATGTTTTGAGAACATATTTAACATTTAAAAGAAATTCTTGTCTCATTAAGAAGATAGGTATTTATTTTTGTGAAGGAAGATACTTCATTATTTTAATTCATCAATATGATTTGACTGTAAGCAAAAACAAAAACAAAAAAAATCAGAATAATTATTGATTGTACCAATTTATGTGATTACTATGCATTTGGCATAACCCCCATCTCTTATCATCATAAAATAATAAAAAGAAGAAGAAGCAAAAAAAAAAACAAATATCATCCACTTTATGAGAAACTCGATCGGTATGCTATCCATCCTCATAGTAAAAAAAAAACGCCGCGGCATGACCTTCGATTTTGATTAGGTTTATGTTGTTTTTTATTACGAGAGAAAAAGACCACACGTACATCGAGACTCATTTCTCTTCATCAAATCTCGTTTTTTCTTTTTGTTGACACATTAGAAAATCACTATGAAAAGCATGCATCTCTATTCTGTTGTATACAAAGAATAGATTTTTTTTTGAAACCGGAAAGCAATACGACGAGAGTAAAGGTGTACTATTTACATATTCTTTTTCTTTTTCACGTATTTCTCTCCATTATCATTCTTCCTCTTTATTCAACTAATAGAGTTAGAAAGAATAAGAAGAAAAGATCAATCTTGAACACCCCCCTTTACTATGCTCGGTGACTTTTCCGTTTTCTTTTTTCAGATTTTTCTTCTTCTTCTTTTGCTATTCTGATTCTGTCGTTTCCCTTGACACAACAACATAACGAATGATAAATAAAGCCATCGTATAGCGTTTGGATTTTATATTCAATAATTAATCAAGTGCGTGTGTTTCTTATGCTTCGTTTTCTACATATTATCAAGGCAAACCTATATATATACAAAGGAAATAAGGTAGATGTCTTGCTATTGACAATTTTTTTTTTCTATAGAGAAAACAAAAGTGTATGTCAGTATAAATTAGAAATTTGACATATAGCTATATATATATATATATATATATACAAATTCATGGTCAGAGACATAGACATAGAAGTTTGGGATTGTTTAATCAAGCAGCATCATATATGGGAAAAAAACAGATTCTATATATCTCATCAATTTCTTTTCTTTTTTCTTTTCAATTTCATATCTTAACCAAAAAAAAACGATCCTATTTGTCTACCTCCTGTTGTTCGATATAAATTCTTTATTTCGATACCATTGATGAAATTATCAACATCTTATTTTAGTTTTTTTTTTTCTTCTTCTTCTTCTCTTTATAGTTTGAGTATTGATAATGTTTTATTCAATCATATTCGAATTAGTTATTTTATCAATAATCATTGCAGCTGATCCCGGTCCAGCAATTAATACCGGTTCACATGCAGCACAACCACCACCACCACCACCACCATATAATTATTATGAACATCGATCTCAACAGCAACAACCAACATCATCATCAGATACAAATAAACGAAGTCAATATAGCAATTATTATCCTGAACAACAATATCAACCATCTTCGTCAGCAGTAACATATAGCAATTTAGGAAACAAAAAATCATCAGCAAATCAATGCAAATTACATATTAATTGTCCGAGTAAGTAAATAAAACAATCAAATATTTCAAAATAATTTTTTTCCTTTTAATTTTAGATGCACGAAGTCGTGTTACACTTGACATACAAGGACCTGCTGGTAATTTTTTCTTTTGTTTTCTTTCTTCGGAATCATAAGAATTTAAAAAAAAAATAATACAATTTTTTTTAGGACCACCTGGTCCACCAGGTAAACAAGGCATGCAAGGTCCAAGTGGTCCTCCAGGTCTACCTGGACCACCGGGTAAAATTTAAAATAAACATAATTTTTCTTTATTTTATCAATAATTTCCTTTTCAAGGTCGTGATGGTTATTCAAATTTAAAATCAGCTTTTTTTGTTGCATTAAATAAAACATTTTCTTTACAAGATAATGCTGCTATTATCATATGGGATGACGTTATATTAAATAAAAATAATAATCTAAATAATAATACTGGTATTTATTATGCACCTATTAATGGTTTATATGAGTTTAGTTTAACGGTTTGTGTACCAGCTAATCAGATTGTATGTTTACTTTTTTTTTTTTGATAAAGAAAAAAAAATTTGTGTTCAATTCTTTTTCTAGGCATCAGTATCTTTATGTAAAAATACTGAAAATATTGTACCATTATGGGTTGAAGGTTTTTTAACCGCTGTTAAAAATCAAAAAGTACCTATTTGGAATACAGCATCAACAACAGTTGTTTTATATTTAAATAAAGGTGATCGAATATATATACGTGCACAATCACGTGAAGATGGTGATTATCATTTTAAAACATCATTATATGGTTGGAGATATTCAACATTTGGTGGATTTTTGATACATGAAGACAATTAAATAATCTTTTTTCTTCTTTTTTTTTGTTTATAAATCCTTTCTCCATGTGATATAGTTTCAATACCCCTTTACTTATAACCTTACTTTTTTTTTTTGTCTCTATCTCTCTCTCTATCTCTCTTTTATTGTTTCGTAGTTGTATTAAATTAAATACAAAGGCACTATTGAAAGAGAATGTGAAATTTTAATGGCGACATCACAAAATCTCTTTGAATAATGCTTTCGTTCGCATTAAAATTTTATTACTGTTGCAATAAATCCATATGTGCTTGTATTTATACTATTGTCGCAAACTTTCTTTCTCTCTCTCGTTCTCTCGTTTTTTTTTTTTTGATATCGAAAAAGAAGTGTATACTTATATATATATTAAACGCATTCAAGCATGAATTTGTCGGTAACGAGCAAAAGAAAAAAAAAAAAAAAAAAGAAAGATACAGATAATAATGACTAGCTCGATCAATATGAATAGTCATCAGTCATTGAACATATACATATATATCCCCATTGATTTCATGCTCTCTTTTATATATTGCTCGAAGGTATGTTGAAAATAAACAGACCGAGCAATGCATATTATCGTGTCACATCTATTTAACCTATTGGATATCTTTTCAACTATCTATGTCTTTCTCTTTGCATTTAAAATAGAATATATAATAATAATAGAAATGAATCATTTATAATTGACAATATGATTTTTAATCTTATCTTATAAAGAGAGAATAGACTTAAACGATTATCATACGAGAAGAGAAAAAACATATGATTATATGTTGTTTGTTTGTTTGTTTGTTTGTTTTTTTTTACATATTTAATGAGGAAGGAAAAAAAGAAAAAAACTTGATCAATATAATTAGAATCACATTAGATATTTACGTCAAATGCAAAATAACTACGAAGAATATATATCCAATCGATTTATATTTAGATGATCGATGACATCATAGGTGTACTATATGCAATATACAATTTCTAAATTTCAAATAACTATCATATTGAAAAAATTTTCTTTTTTATATTGATTGAATATTTGAAAAAAAAAAGTTGATTATAGGATTTTATTTCATTTTATTTTATAATTTTGAACACATGAAATAGAGATATTCATATACATGCATCTGACAATAAATATCCATTAAGTATTTGATAAATACCAAATTTCTATAAATGATATTTGACCATAAGTCGTAATATATTTTAAATAAAAAAAAATCTTTGAAACTAAAAAAAAATATTCCGATTTTTCATTATTCAGAATCTTCTTCATGGTTGGAATAAAACGTATATAGTACTACAATAAAAAAATTGAAATATCTTCGGTTCGATTCGCTTGAAAGAGTTGATTTTTTTAGTTAACTAGTAGGAAGCTTATTGAAAGTTATTTGTCATATGAATAACATAAATAATTACTACTGTCAAATCTAATTTTTAGTGTCACTAGAGAATTTTCATCTATTATTAAGTAAGAAGAAATCAACATGAATATTATCAATGATTCTATATTGATAATACAGGAAATTTTTCGAATTAAAAGTTAATGATTACAATATAATTTTGAAAACTTGCTCTATGTACACATTTATAAAGTTCGCTTTGATTTTTTTTCTTACTTGGCAATAAAGATATCAATATAATTAGTTATATTAGCGCTATTTTCATTAGCAAAGAAAAAAATTAATATCAAATGTAATTTTAAGTTTATCATAATCCTATATTAAAACTCACTCTCTAAGTCTTAATAATTATTACATCACATGCTCATGTATATATATAATATTGAACAATCGACCGAACCATTCAATAGCTTAATAATAATGGCCATTTCTAAAGACATCCCAAGTTAAAAAAAGCACGCTCGTTTATAGGTATATTACATGATTCAATATTACGATCATATTTCTCCGTATACGATAATGAGAAATATTCTCGTAATATTGAGTCATGTAATAGAGCAAAATATGGTCGTATGTGAATTTTCTATCCTTCGTCCTGGTATATTACTCCTTGGTTAATTTGAATTCTAATATATTAATGCCATTTTCTGTTATCCTACGTAATCATTTTTATCATAGATACTATATGATTATTTAAACCATAGTTACTGTATGGTAACATCTTATTTCTGCATTTAGAAAATATTTTCATTCCTGATGCTCATGCTCTTTATTTTCGTATTGCATTTTTTTTCCTTAATTTAACATTCTTATTATTCTAACCTTGATTGATTTAACTGGTAAATAAACTCATTGTACATATCTATCACAACTTACTATTATATATCTCGATAAACATAGATACATTGATATTAGTTATTTCCTCAAAGGTATAACTTGATCGGTTTGATTCATTCTCAAAAGAGATGAAATTTTTATATCGATAACATTGATAAAGATAACGAATAGAGATGATCTTGTAATGATATACTTCACTTTAATAAAGACTCAACTACTTATTTATCTTAACTGATTTGTTTTATTTTGAGCAAGGAAGAGAAATATTGGATATACAGTGTGGCGCAAAAATCACTTTACCGAAAAAAAAATTGAATATCTCGATTACGACTCGAGCAAACGAGCTAATTTTTTTAATTAATGATAGAGGCATGTTCAAACTTTATATTCATAAAGACATGCCTAGAGAGAAGCTTTATTAAGTATCACTATTGACTTCAACAAAAAGAATATAGCCATTCTCGACTACTGAAAATATATCGTCGAGAGAGGATTCGCAATTGATTAAGGGCTTCTGAGCTGTGCACAGTTTTACATAGTTAGACAGCAGGATATTCAAAAAAAATGATGAAACATTTATATGTAGTAACTGATATTTAAATTAAATTTCTCTTGAGAAATTAAAATCTAAGAAAAAAAAATTCTAAATGACAAGCATAGAAATACATATGATGATGATAGAAGTCATCATTACATATATCGCAGATATATTGAATTATCTAAAACTAAATCTATATAAACAAATTCTAATTGAAAAATATATCTAAAACAAATTGTGTATTATCAAAAGAAACCCTTTGACACGAATGAATATGAAAAAGAGTTTAAGTTCAATAGTTTTTTTTTTTAAATTATTCAATCTTATTCATGTCAGAATAGTGACATCCATGTCGAAATGAAAAATTTTCTCGAAAGCGGTGATGAAACGCGATTTATCGTTCCCATTTTTTAACAAAATACGATTAATCACTGTTTTACGTCGGTTTCTTTTTTTCAAAATGGTCAAAATCGTGGCGATTTTTGTGACATGATTACATGATCAAATAGAATAGTGCTTACTAAATATACCGAGTAGACTAGAGATAGAAATCAGGAAATGAAGTAAATAATTTAAAATCATTATCAGAAATATAAAAAATAGAATTTTCGTTATTCTTGCTCGACCAAATAAAGCATTTTTTGTATTATAGATGAATATCGAGCTGGGCGCTCTGAACAATATATTGATTTAATTATATAATTATTTGTCAGCTATTATTCACGAAAGACATTCGTACTCACCTAGTCTAGCAAAAGAAAACAATCAACTATCTTCATCAACAGCCTTCCTAATTCCTATATCGTTTCCAATAGCTATAACATCAATTTTTTAGTCTCCTTTCCTTAAACAACGAAAAAAAAAACAAAAATCATTCTAACATCCTGCACTTAAGATTCTTTTCAAGTCTATTAAATAGAAATGATTCAGATCCGTCTGCTAGCACTCACGATGGAACATTCTCAAATGTCAAATCGCTTTTCGCTTATGACTGTTGCCATTCAATTGGTCTCGGTGAATAGTGAAAAGGTCTATTTTGGTTTGGTTTTTTGGCCTTCTCTTACCGAGCTATGGACGTAGATTTGTTGATAAGTTAAATAATCAAATTTCGAGCTGATATTTTGCTCATAGATGATAGCACTTATCGTCACTAGTAATTCACCAAAGTTTTAGCCAAAACGAAAGTATTCTTATCGAGATATCAGCTTGTCATGAAAATGGCCTTTTAGTGAAACAGTCTAAACCAGGCGTTTTTCTTTAAATGTGAATATCTCGATAAGGATACGTTTGTTCTGATTCAAACTTTGGTAAATTACTAGCAACGATAAGACCTATCATCTATGAACAAAATCTCAGCTTGAAATTCGATTATTTAGCTTATCAACAAACCTACGCCCATAGATCATAAATCGAGTAAAACGCCCATAGTTTGACAAGAGAAGGCCAGAATATCAAACTACTTAAGGCATACCAAAAGTAGTGGCCAACGCATCTTTATTTCGTATAGAAGGCTTAAGAAAAATGTCTTTTTTTATGAATAGATAGAGCGTCGTTTGCTCTATTTTTCTATGCTATTTGATCCCTATTCAACTGATATCGTAATTATAAAAGGACCCCGCCGGATAAGGGTAAAAATCTGCCACCCCATGAAATTGAATGAAAGTCATATATTCTGAAAGCCCATTTTTCGGCGCACATTTTGGTATGTTTTCTTTTCTCATAAGGATTTATTAGAGGTGGCTAGTGAATCATCTTCAGAACCACCCTAATATGGATTATAACGACTTTTATGGATTTTTGATAATTACTGGAAAGTGTATTTTTTGTTTCATAAATGTTGCTTCGAAGTTTATCAAATACTACCAATCGATGCAGCAAAATGTGCTCTACAAAATGGTATAAATACATAAACTTTGAATTGTTCTCATTAAGGTCTGTAAGACCAACAAATATAAGATAATGTACAAAAAATACAATTATAAGGCTAATTTTGCTAAATTATCAAGATATTTCAAGTTGATTTTCTTGTGAATAACTATTTGAACAAGATGGCGACTATTATAGAAAAATTCCTCGTGATTTGCTCTACAAAATGACATAAGTTTGAAAAAAATAAAAACAGCCCCAATATCGAATATTTGATAATTACTTTTGAACATGTCATTATTTTACTTGTATAACGATACTTCTTTTAGATCAATGTTAGATTTTATTGAAGTCATTCTAGTTTATATTTTAAAATTGATGATCGGTTTAAATTTAATAAGTTAAATAACGCTAAATAAGACTTTATACAGTAGTCCAATATACATCTTCAACTGATCTTTATAATGTATAAATGTAACTCATGAATATAATTGTGAAACAGCTAGATATAATGTCTTTCTCTTACTCTTATTTTTCAAATTAGTTGTTAGTGTTGCTATATCGTGTGAACGTTCCTGTTTTCTTCTCTGCATCCCTTTTGATATTCTTGCTGTAATCATCACAACTGTAGTCTTATATATACATAAACTTGATTAAAATACATAAATCATCGCCGCCACCTGCATTGTACAATAGGTCAAGTTCGGGTAGGAAACTTCTACGTGAGAATTCTCTTGTCCTTACATATATATAAATAAATATATACATATATTTATTTATTTATTCATTTATTTGTTTATAAAATGGTCTTAAATAGTTATTTTTAGCCTACATAATAACGTGGACAGAAGTATTAGACGATCAATTCAGATAGTTATCTTTCGGCTTACGTATTCTACGTGGGCAGGAGAATTAGATAATCAACTTAAATAATTATCTTCCAGTCTACGTATATAACGTGGGCAGGAGTATTAGATAATTATAAAGTGACATCCTCGCACAGTTGGATTACCTTGTACTTTATTGATCCCGACAAGAAGTTTTTTTAATGTCGCGCAAGAAGAAATGCGTTTTATGCTCTTGCTGGTGTTCGAACTACCGTTCTTTGTCTTCTTCTACTCATGAATGGTTTCATCAATATCTTCGGTCTAATGGTATGGTGTTCGATGAGAACGACGTAAATCTTTGCTCTGGTTGTATCCGTACGTACTATAACATAAAAGAAACGTTGAACACCTCATCTATACCTGAATCAATGGACACTATGGAAGAAGTAAATACTAGCACAAATGATGACCAATTTACTCTTAACAATGTTATTTTTGCTGGTCGTGGACATAAAAAATGTGTTGTCTGTCGAAAAGATATTCGAGGTGGAACAATGGTAATGCCAAAAGCGGCTCGACTTGATTTACTTATTATTCATTCGATGTACGCGCCACAGGGAGTTCGCTGTTGTTCATCTCATCTCTTTAATGACAAACATTTAATACCTGAAGATAAAATAATTATGGAAGATCGTCAACTTCTTGCATCGTGCCTTTCATTATAAAATACCATCTAAAATAATAAATTTATTTTAAGAATAAAACTAGTATTTAACATAATACTAAACCATAAACCATGACTAACTATTAAAGAAGTTTTCGATTTATTAACAAATAAGAAAAAAAAATCATCTTTTTGCTTTTTAATTAGTCATGGCTGAAAGAAATCAAAATTTAATGATTTTATCCACAAATGAAAAATCTGAAACATCTAACAATGAAACACGTAAATAAATTCTGTATTTAATAAAGAATAAAATATAATACTAACTTCAATATTTTTAGAACCATTACAACAAGAACATGTAAAAGTTTCAAAGAATGAAAAAAAAATTAGCTATGGAACAATAGAAACTAATGCAGTATCTACCCATGTGTTCGAATGCGATCGAATTGCGACGCAGTTACGCGCAACTGCGACACAGAATTGGCTCTACGTGTAACTGCGACGCAGTTGTTAAAAAAGTGGCGACATGGGTACGTGCACGTTTCTTTTGCTCACTGGAAATATAAATGGTACATCATTTGCATATCTTTCACATGCACCAAAACACTTTCACCAATGGCAATATACGGCAACACAAACGGTCATCGAATTGATCAATGACATGATCAAAAATTTCCAAAACTGTATAACAGAAAAAACCTCCACAACTTGTAACAACACTAGACTTTGAAAAAATTACTAATCTTGAACTATTAGGGGGTGGAGGTGCATCAATGGAACTTGATCGTATTTGTGAAGGTTTTTCTAATATTATTAACAACATCAATGATATTCGTGAAGGTTTATCAGATGAAGGAACGAGATATTTATTCGAAGAAATAAAAAATAACATAGCAATCATCCCACCATTAACATTTCTTCTTCCTGATAAACAAGAGAAAAAAGGTAAGTCGTTATTCGTTCCAATTTGGGTTGTGGGTATGGGTGTCCGTGTGGGGTGTGGGTGTGGGTGGGTGTGGGTGTGGGTGTGGTTATAATGTTCTTCATTCAATCCACACCCACACCCACACCCTCACCCACACCCACACCCTCACACCCGCACCCACACCCACACCCACACCCTCACACCCGCACCCACACCCACACCCTCACACCCGCACCCACACCCACACCCTCACACCCGCACCCACACCCACACCCACACCCTCACACCCGCACCCACACCCCAATAACATCAAATACACCAACAACATTATCAAGATCATCAATACCATCATCATCATCAACAGGGACTAAACGTTATTCATCAAAATTTAAAAAGGAATGGTTATCAATTTCTCATTTTTCTTCTTTCTTACAAGAATGTAAAACTGATCCAACTAAAGCTGTATGCATTGCTTGCAATGTTCAATTCTCTATTGAAAATAGTGTTCTTGGTGATATTAATCGTCATATTCAAAGAAAAAAACACCAAGAATGTGTCAAATCAGTTGAATCTAATCGATGTAAGATTTATAAGTACTGTTATTTTTGATGCAACTACCTTTTAATACTTCTGTTTTAGCAAAAACTGTTGATACAATGTTTCATATACCGACATCTGATCTTCAGAAACTATGTGCTGCAGAAGGTACTCTTGTTTTTCATGGCATTAAACATTCACACAGTTACGTTTCACAAGCATGCACAGTAAAATTAGTTAAAAAATGTTTACTAGGTTCATCTATAACAAAAAATATAAATTGTAATAGAACCAAAGTAAAACAAATATTACTTATTTTACACTTCTTATAGAGCATCACATATTTATTTTTCAGGCTCGTGAAATAGCATGTAACGTACTTGCACCATCACTTACATATGCTCTTGTACTTGAATTACGCGATGTTACATTCTTTTCGATTGCATATGATTCATCAAATAGAGGAAATTCTAAAATGTTGCCGATAGTTGTTCAGTTTTTTTCAAAGTTTGGTGTTAAACATGGGTTACTTGAATTTATTGAATAACAAACAGAATCAGCTGATGCTTTATTCAATAATATCAAGTACGTGTTAGAAGAAAATGAATTAAAGTTGAGTCAAGTTGTTTCAATTGGTTCCGATAACACCAACGTAAATGTTGGTAATAATCATAGTGTATTTTCTTTATTTAATCAACTAGTACCTTATTTAATTAAAGGTAAAGAAAAATTCGAAATTTTCATAAAAAACTTTTCAGTATTTTATCGTTTTAGGCTATTGCTATTCACATATTCTACATAATTCAGTGAAACATGGAAATGAATATCTGTTGTTTGATGTTGAAGCTGCATTATTAAAAATATATGCTCATTTTTGTAGATCTACTGTTCGTTCACAGGAATTAGCGAATATTTCGACTTTGTTGGTCAAGAACGAAAAGTAATCGATCTCATCTAAATTGTTCTCATTCATTTCAAATTTTGAATATTTCATAAAAAATATTTTTTATTTAGGTTATTCTTAAACACATTCGACTAAGGTGGCTTAATCTTTTACCATCTATTGAACGTCTCATTGTTGTACATCCAGTAGTAAAAAGTTATTTTCTAAATCTTGAACATGATGAATGTCCTAATTTATTATTTAAGTTTTTTACTTCAAATGAAGGTAGTTATTTTATTTGAAAACACCTCAAGTAATTTCTCTGCCTTTTTATATAGGTGAATGTTCTTTGTATTTCTTAGCGAACGTTTTACCTGAAGTACAAGTTGCTAATTTATCATTACAACGTGAGCATACAACAGGAGTTAATTGACACAATATCATTACAACATTGCTTCATAAGCTAAACAATCGTTTGAAAGATAACTTTTTTGGTTGTAAAGTTGGTCAATTATTAAAAAACATTCAGTCTTCTAATCAAGTTGAAGATTTAAAGAAATCATGTCGATCATTTATCCGTTCAATTATTGATTATATTGAAAAATATTATAATAGTTCAGCAGCATTTTATCAATCAATTTCTATTTTTAGTGAAATTGACATTGAAAAAATTCAATGGAAAGATATTCAACAATGCTGTACTTTCATTCATGACATTATAATTGATGAAGATGGTTTATATAATGATTTTAATCATATAAGATCCAAATATATTTCATTGAGAGAAAAATCCGGTGGAATCGTTAAGCAAGTTGAATCATTTATTTTATCAAATTTAGGTGCATCAAAACAAGTTGTAGTACCGCTTTATGATGAAGACAGTGTACATGATGATGATGAATGTGATCTTACATATGATTCTGATTCTAATGATGATGATGAACGTAATGCAAAATGTCATAAAGAACAAGAAGAAAGTCTGTGGATTAGAAGTGATTATTTATGGGCCTTTTTACTGCATGGTGAAAGAGTACCTAATTTACAAAGATTAGTTCAATTTGTATTTGCGATTCCTGTGTCCAATGCATATTGTGAAACAGTTTTTAGTCACATGAAATACTTGTGGAACAATAATCGAAATAGAATGAAGCAGGATTTAGTTGGAGCTGAATTGAAGATAAAAATGAATACTAATTATACTTGTACAGAGTTTTATGACTATCTTTTAAACAAACCAGATCTTTTAAAAGAGATTCGATCGTCAAATAAGTACAGTCATATTGCAAAAGTACCACGAACAGCTTAGTAAATATTTATTAGTTGTTTTTTTACTATATGTTTTGATTATGATATTTTTTAATTTGGATTTACCTTCATATATTTTGTGTGTTCTAATAAGTGCTAGCAACATGAATATTGAAATAAATATTATGAAATGAATAACCTCTCTTTCTTTCTTTATTTCATTTACAAAAGATTTTTTCCTTCAACGACACAGCTAAATGCTGCTGACATAGAAACCAGAAGCGTGTAGATGAGCAAAAACTTAGATTTTATCAGATAAAACCCCACAAGAGACTCTTGATCTTGAAAGAAAAATCTCCTGATTTTACTCCTGATTTTGAAAAAAATTCTCCTGACAAACTACTGATTTTCAAAAAGAAAACCACTGATTTTTAAAATTACGATTTGGCATCCCTGGCGCTAGCCTTCTTATTTTTTTATGTTTTATATACCATTTTGTAGCTCGTGAAATTCTCTATCGAATGGTATATAATAGTTGAGGTTTTATTTGACTATGATAGGGAAAATGCTTTACGAAAGTGGGGATAGGTCGATTTTCCTATAGGAAGCCGTAGGGAAAAATCAGTATTTTTGCAATAACTCAGGAACGGCTCGGCCAATCCTTCTCATCTTCGAATTCGACCGAGATAATGTTAAGACTAAACTGTATAGAAAATTTCATCGTGATCGGACTCTCCTTTCAAAAGTTATCGTGTAAACGGACGGTCGGACGGACACACTGACCGATTCTAGAGTGTACTCACTTTTTGAGTACACAAAAACGAGCAGTTCGAACAAAATATTCATGTTTGAATGGAACTATATCGTGCACTGTCAAGCGTATGACATCAGTAAAAACAATAGGTGAAAATGTATTGCCAATATATTCGAGATGATCAAGCACGAACGGTAACCATGTGAAAATAAAAAGGTATTTAACGAAGTGATTCTTAAAATTAACGAAATTTTCATGAACTTTCATTATATTCCGAAAACTCGTGTAAATGCATTAGATTTTTTACGCGTGATTGTCGTTTCAACTGTAACTAATTCATTATATATCGTTAAACGTTGCATTCATTTTCACGTGTTAAACATATTAATACGTTTTCATGAATTTCTGTATTTTTCACGAAACTTAACTGATTGATTTTCGTTAAATCTATTAACTGTTTTTATGAGTGAAATATTTTAACGAGTTTTACTGAAAATTTTAATTGTTAACGAACGTTATTTAATTATTCATCATTCAATCTACTAATCATTTTCATGCGTACAATATTCATGATTTTTTTTTGTGTAACATATTTGTTTATGCACATTACACAAAAATCATTTTGAAATACTTATATTTACGAAATATCAAGTGTATCTGTGAACTATATCAATCCAGATATCAAAAGCTTTTTATCAGATTAAGTAAAACTCTCCTTTAGAGAAATCTCAACTTTGTATTAATCGCTAGAAAAACCACTTGAATCAATCCTAGACAAAGATAATCCTCTTTCAAAGTTTATTATGGGTTTTATATCTAAAGAAATGTAATTTTGTACTTCGTACATCATCATTTCTGCTCCACATGATAAAAAAAGAAAAATTTTAGCAAAATAATTGCTCTAGTTAAGGCCAAAAGTTGCCTTAAAAGGCAAATTAATGAAGTTTCATGAAGAAAATTTTCATGAATTTTTGTTAGATTTAGAAAATTCGTTTTAAGGCGTTAGATTTTTCACGTGTGATTGTCATTTTAATGGTAACTAACTCATTATATATCGTTAAATGCTGCATTCATTTTTCCACATGTGATATTTTAAATTTCTCACTCGAGCTACATGCCATCGTGTATTGATATGAGTTCCTCTTTTACGCTATTGAGTTGAGCTAAGCTAAGTTTTTCGCTAATAGAATCTAGATCTAATATGAAAAATATGACTGGTTCATCTGTGTTAAACATGTCAGCTGATATACTAAGTTAGGAGGAAGGAGATAATTCAATTATATTAGTTCGTATAATTTGTCTTTCTATAGTTCAAGCTAATGAGTATATTACTCCTCAGGATTTTTCATACATTGTTATTCACTGCCAATATGATGAAATTTTTTCAATAATCAATATCTTGCTATGTTTTACTCGTCGGAGGAGAAAAATCCAACTAATCAATTCAATATTGGCTGTACTTTCGAATAAGATACTTAAGATAACATTATTATCACTAAAAATATTTCGTAATTGATAGCGAAACAAATTATAGAGTACAATATTTTTTTTTTACTTTGTCGATATCCCAGATTTTGACCTAATAATAGTTTTATCATTTCTGTCAACTATGAAATATATTTCTAGTATACACAAGAATGCAAAATTGTAGCAAGTAAAGTCATAAATAGTTTCAGTTTCGAGATATCGACAAAATAAAAAACTATATTATACTTCCTCGTTGGTTTTTCTATCTATTACGAAATATTTATAGTGATAACAATGCTTTCTGAAGCATCTTAAGTACATCCAATATTGAATTAATTATCTGGACTTTTCTCTTCAGACGAGTGAAACTAAGCAAGACATTGATTATTGAAGGAAGTTCATCATACTTGCAGTAAATAAGAATGTATGAAAAATATTAATCAATTTTCGTATTTAACACGTTTCTCGATAAATTCACACGCGAAGAATCATTAAAAATTTACTAATCTAAACGAAAGAAAGATCGTTAGAATTTGAAAACGCATTTTCATGATCAAAATTGTAACATTTTTAATCGTTAAATTAGTACAAATTTTTACATAGGATCTATAATTTCCTGGTTACTCCACTAGAGTAAAGATAAAAAAATTTACTATTTAACGAAACTATTCTTATTTTTTTTTTATCTTAGCGACATGATTGAAATCATTTCTTTTTCTTTTTTCTTTCATTCACTTACACCAGCTGTTGCTGTTGTTTTTTGTATCTCAATGTCAATATCACATAATATGATGTATATGATTATAAATGCAGATGATTTTGGTTATTGTCCAAAACGTGATAAAGCAATTATTGATTTATTTAAACAAAAATCTATTTCATCAACAAGTCTTCTTGTTAATGGTGATAATGCTTATCAAGCATGTTTATATGCAAAACAATATAATCTACCAATGGGTATACATTTTAATTTAACTGAAGGTCGACCTATAACAAAGAATTTATTAAAAATCAAATCTTTAATTAATATAAATGGTATAATGCATGGAAAATTTGGTTTACGTGATGAATTAGATAAAGGTAATATAGAACAAGAACATATTAAATATGAATTAATAAATCAATTAAATAAATATAAAGAACTAACAAATGGTCAATTACCAAAACATATTGATGGACATCAACATATACATATACATCCAATGATTATAGAAATTATAGTACAATTAGCTAAACAATATGAAATAAAATATATACGTACACCATATGATCAAATGATAATAAATAATGATATAGATAATTTATTTTATAAAAATATAATTTATCAAACAAAATTAGCTATGAAAATTTTAAATAAATATTCAATTTTATATACAAAATATTTTTTTGGTATAACAATTATGGGTAAAGAATTAACAATAAATAATATTGAAAAATGTTTTCAATTATTTAAAAAAATTTCTAATAATAATAAAAATATTCTTATTGAATTTATGTGTCATCCTGGTTATCCAAGTCATCCATATATAGGTGGTTGTGGTATAGGACAAACTGATGAATTTTCTCAATCAATTGAACGACAATATGAATTTAATATTTTATCAAGTATAGAATTAAAAGATTTATTTCAAAAATATAATATTCAATTATGTATTTATGATGATATATTAAAAGAAAATCTTATTAACATAGACATGTTAAACGATGATGAGGTAAACGTGGATGCCAATCACTATGAATAGAATAATCACCACGATATGGACGACGTGCTAATGGCCATGGACATTTTGGATGACTATGACTACGACGTTGAAAATGAACTTGACGACGATTTGAATGATGAACATTATGTGTAAGAATTGGTGGTTGTTGTTGTAAACAATGTGTAGATTGTTCATTATTTGTTATTTTAATTTCAGTTTCAGGATTTTCAAGAACTTTATTAATAGCATCAAATTCTATAAAGAATATTAGAAAAAAAAATCGGAAAGTATTAAGATGATGGAAAAAAGTTTCGAAGCAACGATTTTTTTCATAATGTTAGCATGTAGCTTCAATTCAAATAGTGATTTTAATAGCCTCAGCATGATATTTTTCAAGTTCTAGAAGACTTTGTCAGAGCTATTTTAGAATGGTGTCATTTTAAAGAGCACAAAATTCTGAACAAAATGAGGAATCGTCGAATTTTCTACGAACTTCTCGTAAAAAGTTACAAGCATTACAAAAATCATGAAAATGGCGTTTTTTAGTCGATTTTTTCATGATTTTTGTGATGCGTGTAACTTTTTATGAGAAGATCGTAGAAAACTTAGCGAGCCCTCATTTTATTCAGAATTTTATGCACTTTAAGATGGCACCGTTCAAAAATAGCTTTGACAAATTCTTCTAGAACTTGAAAAATACCGTATTCGGTTTTTTAGAAGTCTTGCCATTATTGTTCGTCTGTAAAATCTTGTTAAAAAGTGTATTAGATAGAAAACTTTATTGGCTATCAAAATCACTATTTGGATTGGAACTACATGCTTAACATTATGAAAAAAATTGTTGTTTCGAAACTTTTTTCCATCACTTTAATTTCTATATTCAAAAAAAATGAGAAAATCTCAAGAGATATATTATCTAATTGACTTTATTATATAATTTTTGTTTATATTCTCAAATATCATATTTATATATAAATGTTTAAGAAAAATAATGATATAATACCTTTATCATCTCTTATTGCTTGACGAAATCGATCCATAGATGGATAATATTCAGTTCGACTTCCATCTTGTCGACATATTGTTGAAGCCTATAAAAAATTTATATGACATACATAAAAAAAATACTTTAAAAGTCTTTTTTTTTGTTTTACGCCAATAGGTGGACATTCATATTCATTTGTCATTAAAATGCGATAATTTTTTATTGCTTGTATAACATTCATTTTTGAATCTACATTAGCCAATTTTAAAAAAGCATTAGCACCTTGCCGTTCAAAAGGTGTTAAATCTTGAATTTCATCCAAATAATTAGGAATTATTGGCTTTTTATGAGTTATTTCTTTAAAAATAAATATAAAATATTATAATAGTTATTTCTTTATATATAACATTAAAAATTACGTTCATGTGATGTAACATGAGCCGATCGTGCACCATAAGCATTAGGAATTTCTCTCATTCCTGTTCTCATAAAAACTCTATATTAAAATAATATATGTACAAATAAAAAGAAAAAAAAAAAAAAGCTTAACGAATAAAATTATTTTACAATTTCGGATGTGGATTATGATGTCGACCAGCTGATGTTGGTCTTGATAAAGTACGTTCAGCTTGTTCAGGATCAGCATAATAATGACCATGAGTTGTTAATGCTGTATCTGGTCTTGACCAAATTAAACGTGAACTAGCACGAATTGCTTCTAATTCTTTATTAAGATGTTTTCGTCTAGCTAATTCACAATATGGATCAGAACCTAATGCAGATAAACTTCGTCTTTCACTTTGACTTCTCTCGGGGCGAATCGACATGTTTTAATCATCCAAAAAAAAAAAGAAGCCAAAACATAAATCCTTCTTTTCATACCATTAAACTATTAGTTGTCATAGAAACAATTAATTCAAATAAAAAAAATTTTCTTTTTCAAAAATTTAAAATTAATTTTTAAATAATTATTTTCTTTTATAAAATAAAATTTTGTTTTTTATATAAAATAAATTATAAATAATAAAGGAGGATAAAAAAAATATCATTATGGCAAAAGATCAGGTTTCTTAAACCAATCAAATTAAAGATAGCATGCAACATAAACGAGCGGGCGAACGCAAAGGCAAAGACAAGAACAGGAAGCGGAGCGCTGAGCATGGCTAGTGAAGCCTTTGCACTTTCAATGTCAAATACATACTGATTGCAGATCTCCGGAGATTTAACTAGTATTCAACAAAGTTGTTGTCTTCTTTGCATTTTTGTTTTTTAGATCACATGGTGTCCTAAATTGAAGAACGGGAGCTAATTTACAGAAGAAAAAAAAACAACAACAATAATAATAATAATAATAAAAACTAACTGTCACACTGGCATCGAACACGATTACCCTATTGATTCAATGGGGTTACGGTAAAGCACGAAAAAAAAGAAAATCTATATATTTTTATTCAATTCAAAAAAATAATATTATTCATGTATTGTTATTTGTTTTTTTTTTTCTTGTTAGGCTCCTTAAAAAGATGGATATCTATTATTATTATTTATTAATAAAAATCTAAAATTCAAATGGATATATCACCTGATTTAAGTCATTTAACTGAAGATGAAAGAAAAATAATTGAAGCTGTTATTAATCGACAAAAAGCTGAAGAAGAACGAGATGCTGTGGCTATACAGTAAAAACAAATAAATAAACAATATATTTATTTATTTATCTATTGATTTATTTAAGATCACGTATGGATGATTATTCAGCACCAGTTGCTATGGCTGGTCGTCGATATTCACAACAGACTAAAACACATCCTCATGAAAATTCATCAAATGAATCAGGTGTTTGTTGTGAAATATGTAAAAAAACGAAATTTGTTGATGAACAATCAGTACGTCAATGTTCAATATGTAAAAAACGTCTTTGTGTACGATGTGGTGTACGACTAAAAGGACATCAATATAATAAGGTTTTTATTTTATTTATTAAATTAAAATTTTATTTTATTTTATTTTATTTTTTATTTTAGACATTTTGGCTTTGTAATATATGTCGACAAAAACAAGAAAGTTATTTTTCTTCATTAAAATTAATTCCAACAACAAATTCTGTATCACAATTAACAACAACATCAATTAATACAAATAATATAAATGATGATAATACAAAAAATATATCAAAACAATATGTATCAGATTATATATTATCACAACCATTTGATACAAATGAAAAAGAAGATGATGATATTAAAATAAATAAAAATGGTGCTAATAAAAAATTACATCAAAATATAATACAACAACGTAAACGAATACTTCCAACGACACATATTAGACGTCAACAACAAAAAGAATCAAAAGAAGATTCAAGTTCAGAACAAGATGATGATGATGCTGTTTCATCACCAGATTCAGCTTCAGTTATTGATGATAATGAATCTGTATCACGTGGTAAGTAATAGAACTTCTTTTAATTAATATTACATCTAGAAGAAGAAAAAGAAGAAGAAGAAGATAAAATGCTTTGAGAAACTTTTCAAAATCAACAAAAAAATATTTTCTAGGAACTATATTGACAAATGATACTTGGCAAAAAGAAGAAATTCTAGCAGCTAAATTGGAAAATTTTTTAACAACGGTGCATATTTATAATAATTTATTTTTTAAAATGCATGCATATCCAATATTTCCTTTCCCTGTTATATTATTATGATTTATGCCTTCTTCTTCTTCTTCTTCTTCTTCTTCTTCTAGTTGTAGTTATTCCTATTGTTTGTATGTATTTATGTTTATTACCTTATTTTTGTCTAGTGAATAAAAATGATGAAGATATTCTTTCATCATTACCATTATCACGTTCAACACATAATAATCCACAAAAAGATTTAAAAGAATTTCAATATCATTCATTTGAAGATAAAGATCTTGGACATGAAACAACATTAAAAGATTCAGGAATTGATACAGCTAGTTCAAGTACAATACTTAATGTTCTATCAATTGATCCATTTAAAAAGGTTTTTTGTTTTTATTATATCAAAAAATATTCATGGCTATTTATTTATCGTCTTGTCTTGTCATTTTTTTGTTGTGAAAATTTTATTTCTTATTCGTATTAATTATTAATTCACAAAAAAAAACCAAGACATTTTCAATTATTTTTAGCCAACAACAACTTGGCGTTTAAGTGAAAATCGTACAGAAAAAATTGGTTATGTTCATCTTAAAAATAATACATGGACATCAACAATATGTGATGAATATCAACAAGGAAAAATTATTAAAGGAGATATATTTACTGCATTAGGTTTAAAAATACAAGGTGGTATTTGTCAAGAAAATGAAGATGGAACTATTACAATGATTTCTGAAATAATTAAAATTACACCAGGTAGTATAGCTGATAATTGTGGACAATTACAAATAGGTATATATAAGTTAGAAAATAAAAATAAAGATTTTATATTAGATTTTTTTGTTAAAGGTGATCAAGTTCTTGAATGGAATGGAAAAAGATTAACTAATTTAAATTCTAATGATGTTTATCAAATTATTTCTCAAAATTCCATGCAATCACCAGATATTCATATGATTGTTAAAAGACCGATCAGGTAAAAATTGTAATTTTTTTTGTATGTGTGTCTGTCTGTTACATGCAATCGACAGCCTTTACAATTTATTTTATTCTCATGAGATTTTGAAATCTCAAAGGAGTTTTCTTCTTTTTTTTTTTTTTTTTTTTTTGAAAATTATTATTATTATTATTTCTAGATATTCAACATTGTCAAGTAATGAACAATCATTAACAACTCCACCTATTTCAATAATATCATCACAAGGTAAAAATTAGATTTCTTTTTTATGATCTATTTTAATAATTAGTACTAAGCATTTCATGTTGTCTATTTAATTGTGTGTCGCTACTGTCGTATTTGCTTCCTTCCTTCATCATCATATACAAAAAAAAAAAAAAAAAAGAAGAATAAGACGAAGAAAAAAAATTGTAATGAACTGTACGGAAAGAAAGACGAAGGAGGAGAAGAATGACGATGAATAACAACTTGGACAAATACTCGTTCTTTTCTCATCTCTCGCCTCCTTTTGCTGCCTGAATACTAAATCTTTTTCTTCTCTTCGTTTCTTTTATGACGGCAGTATTTGGCTCCCATCAGAGTTAGAAGAAAGAAGAAAATAGTCACTATTCTTACTCATAGTATAAGACGCCTTCTTCTTCTTTTTTTGGTCGGGAGTGTTCATTACGATAAACGTCGAGCTCAATGACATTGACAAAGCAACCATCAATACGGATGGTTGTCTTTGAAAATATCGTATTTAAAAATGATAATGGTTGTGATAATAATAATAGTGTAATTTCCGTTGAATCATCAATAAAAAATCAAGAAAAACAACATATACAACGATCAAATATATTAATGCGTTTATCAAAAAGATTTTCAAATTTATCAAAATCAACAACAATTCCAATGGAAAATTTTCCATCAATATCTTCACCACAATTACCACCACTACCATCATCATCATCATCTTTTGAAAGACAAAATTCTTCTGAATCAGATTTAAGTCTATCAAAATTAGATATAATTGATGATTATTCTAATATTCAACGAAATAATACATTACAAAAAACAACAGATTTAAATATTAGTAAAAGAAAAGCAACATTTCCAACTAGTCAACAATTAACTGAATCATTTCAAAATTTTTATTCACGTTTTTCATTAAGACGTTCAACATTAAAAACAAATTCATCATCATCATCAAATACAATTATACAAACTGCATCATCATCATCATCAACAATTGATAGTAATCAACGTTTAACACAACATTTTTCTACTTCCAATCGAAAATCTATATTTTCTTGTTGTTTACATTGTTTTTCTATTCGACATGAATCTTCAACTGATATGAATATACCTCGTCATCGTTCTTTTTTATCTCGATAAATATAAATATATATATATATATATATTTTTTTCTAATGTAAATTTAAAATATATAAATATAGTTATTATACATTTTATTTAGAACATGATACAACAACAAAGAAAACTGAACATAATATTCGATTACAAGTATTACAAGGAAATTCATAGAATATTTTGTTGATCTATTTTTTTTCTCTAGCTTTCATTTCAATATAATATTCATCGAAGAGAATTTATTGTTACTGTACATGGTGCTAGAGATTTGTCTATACAACAAGGATCCTTTGCTTGTCAATTATGTATTCAATATGGACGAGATTCATTGTAGGTTTTCTTTTTTTTTTCTTGAGAAATAAACACTTGAAATATTTAAATTAGGATTTTATAAAGAAATATAAATAAAATTTTGTATAATTATAAATTGAAAGAAATTTTTTATTTTTAGAGACATGTTTTTTATTATAGGAAATTTATGATTAGATGTGTCATAGCTTCCGGGTCTTTTCACATATAAGCTAGATTATTTTCCAACCATGAATATTGGATTCTTTCACTTTACATTTTAATAATATGACCCGAAAAGGATAATATGAGATTTTTAACGACAGTAATTCTTTCAAAAAACAAAAAAAAAATCTACCAATCGGAAATATTCACATATGGCTATCTTACAACACTATACACGTAGTAGTACCGATAGTTCAATATTGATTCAGAAAAGACAAACATACGTTCAACATTAGCAAATGTTTTCTGTTAACTGATATTATTTTGCTATTTATATTACTTTTAGAATCTTCTAACTAAAATAGAATTAAAGAAGAAATTCAGATTTTTTGAAAAGAATTGATTTTCAATTTTTCTATATAATTAATTTTAATTTAGATCTAAAGAACAAAAATGTACAAAACCTCAAATATGTTCTTCTGGTATATGTACATGGAATCAACGTTTAATATTTTTTGATATTAATACACTTGATAATTTATCTTTATGGGCTAAATTAATTGATCTTGATCGTAATCAAGAAATACTTGGTGAAGTAAATATAAACCAAAACAAAAAAAAAACTTTCTTAAAAATAATAAATATATTCTTTATTAGATATGTATTCCATTAAATGATAAAAAAATAAATCTCAATGGACAACCTGAATGGTATAATTTAATATCAAAATATTCATTATTACAAACAAAAAATTCTCAATTTAATGATAGTGATACATCTGAAATAGAACAACATGGTTAGATATTGTTATTTTTTGTTTTTCTATATGAATATGATAAAAATTTTTATCTTTATTAGAATCATCATCATCCAATCGAAGGCTACCAACAATCAATGCCAATAATGAATTATTACCAACAATGATTGACACGTAAAAAAAAAATATCTAATTAATCATATATATATATTTTTCTTCTTCTTCTTCTTCTTTATCAATGATTTATTTCTAGTATAACAACAAGTAATCGTAAAAGACAATTGCCAAATATTCCTGCAGCTCAATTACATGCAAATAGAGAAAAAGGTTTATTTGATTAAAGTAAAAATAAAAAAATAAAAACAAACTTCTTTTTTTAGTTTCTCAAGATTTAATACAAAAAGCTACACAATTAAAATTACGTCTTCATATGCAACAACAACAACAACAACGTACATTAAATGAAACAAATTTAAATGAAAAACGACAAATGTATGAAGATCGTATACAAATTTTTAATAATGAAATTAATCATCCAATAAATAAAATATCTTCAATACCTTCTCAACGTTCATCATTTCAATCAAGTAAATCAATTGATACAGATTCTCCACAATTACATCCAACATCAATATTATCAAAACCATATGATTCAATGACAAATTTAGTACAAAAACCTTCATCAATAATATCAACAATACCTACAACATTAATAAATTCAGGTTTATTAAAAGAAAAAACATCTTCAAGACCACGAATACCAATTATACGTGATAAAAGTGCACCAAATCCACCATATCTTAATCCATCATTATCAAGACGTACAACAACAGCTGGACAATATCGAATGGATATAGAAAAATCAAAATTAAAATCATTTGAAGAACGATATAAAAAAAATATTAAAAAAAGAGGTAAAATAAAAAGAAGAAGAATTCGAACATCGTCCAACAATCTTTACTTTTAATAGGAACAATATAGTTTCACTATTCGAAAAGAGATTGTATCAGTGATGTAACCAGACGGGAACTCACTTCTTCTAGAAGGCCGGGACCTTTGACTCTTTCACTTAAAAAAATAACTACTACCAAGGATCTGTTTAGGAGAGGATCAAATTTTTTTCTATGTGTAGTTTTGATGAAACTTTTGTTTGTGTAAAATAGTTAGAACAGAAATTATTTATATTTGATTATTATTTCGTACACTGAATAATCGAAAAGAAGAAAATATATAATTATATTTGCTGAAGCAAAAAGTATTACGTTGATACTATTCTATACGAATTATAAAATAGACAAAAATATTTAATAATTTCTATGTATCATACATATATTTGTTATTACTCATGGTGCACATTTTATTCATCATCCCTCAAAAGAACCGATCTGACTTATAATTTCATCTATAAACAATATACAGAAATTATTTTCTACCTGAATTCGAATTAATCAAGAAAACAATTTCAGAATATATTTTACTAATAAAAAGTTTTGTAGCGCTATCGCGGTGGCGATGCGACAGCGTCAGATTTTCAGCCGCGATAGATGTCTCTGTGACTAGTACAGGCGGCTTAATGCATTAAAAAATGACTCAAATGTTCCAGATCCGCATTCAAACACGAAAATTTTATTACGATCTTCATCGATCTAAAATCTTTATCTTATTTCTATGAAAAGTTATTTTGTGGGAAAGAGACATTTCGCATCAACTTTTCGTTACAATCTCCCAGTGGCGGAGTTCGTTACCAAAAATCAATCAAAAAAAAACAGAGTATTCGTAATGAACGTTGTTCAGGACAAAAATCATATCCGGACATGTGATAGGAGTTTGAAATGACTTAGTACGAAATGTCCGCCATCCTTATTTTGTCAGCCGTATGATTTTAGTATTACTTCATATTTAATATTTTTATTTTTTATTTTATAGAATCTTCTGAAACTCCCGGTGATGATGTAGATTCTGATGGATCAGAATTATCAACTGTTTCAAAAATAAGTTCAGTTAGTATGTTATCAACACAATCAGAACGACCTCGAACTATTCGAAAACAAGGGTATTATATTTTATATATATATTTTTTTTTAAATAAATACTTTCTATCTAGTCCACATACACGTCCTAATGATCATCATCATAATTTTCATCGTAATGATGTTGTACAATTAAATGAAGAAGAACTTCGACAAATGGCTATGCGTACACATGATACAATAACAACAATTCAACCAATATCAACGCCAATAAATATAAAAAATGATTCAAATACACAAATATCTACATCATCATCAACTCCTATTGATAAACTTATTAATACATCTGTAACAAATAAATCTGATTTACGTAATGATGGTACATTATCAGATTCTATTTTGAGTACACAACCTGAATCAAATAAAAAACGACGACCATCAATGTCATCGAAAGCTCTTGTCATACTTGGTTTATCAAAAAAGACAAATAGTGCATCTAATCTTGGTTATGGTAAATAAATATATATATATATATATATATATCTTGTGATCTGTTAAAGAGACACACAACAAAAAAACATCAATGTTTTATTTTTTTTTAATAGGCAAACGATTTGGTTTTCAACGAAGTGAAGAAATTGGTGTTCAACCTCATTTACGTAGTAGAACATTACAACGACAAACTAGTAAAGAAAATGAAACACCATCGAATGCTCCAACAGCAGATTCAACTCAATCATCACTTGTTTTATCTCATCAACGTGATCAATATCATTCAATGCCACATGATATGAAGTAAATTTCCTTTATTAGAAAAAAATCTAAAAGACAATACTATGATTTTTATTAAACTGTAGTATTTAAAATTAATTATCCATTAACTTTTTTTTCTCTAACAGGAATATTTGATGCATTTTTTTTTTAGTTAAATGCATCTTTTAGAAATGTTTTTGTTGAGTAATAATTCTAGTTTTATTTTTAGCATAAAAGTAGTTCTGCCGGTAATGCCTAAAGGAACTTCCATTTTCTTTTTGTTCTACATACACTTCGAAGTATTCTCTGTCTAGTAGATAGAATTAATTTATAACTATAAAGGTCCAAAAAAATAACAGTTTCACTGAAAAACTCACATATTTCTCTGTTTTTGAAAACAAAAATCAGGTTCTTGGCAAAAAAATAAAACAAAGTCCTCCAGTTTCTCAACCATAATTCATTTGATCAAGTTGAAACCTTTTTTCTATTTATACTAGAAAGTATTTGAGATCCCTATTTATATCCCAAAGAGGGAAGAGCTATCAAAGATTTATTAAATTCATTTAGTCTAACAGATTTATCTATTAATAGCATATACTACTGTTTAGACGAATAATAGCTAATGATGAACAGGACCAATTTCGTGCTTAGTAATAAATGTACTAGTGAAAAATGTGATATCATTTTCTAGTAGTGTCAATGAGCTTGAGACATCTTGCATGACCTCTAATACTCTCCCTCTTCAAAATTCATTACTTTTCTCTCAATGAAAACAAAAGGATTGGTTCCGACTCGGAACCATCTTGCCGATATCTATCTACCCTAAAAGTTTCAAAATTTTCTTATCTTCCATTCACAAAATAGAATTTAAAAAAAAAATTCTTCTAAATAGAACAATTTTTCTTTTGTGTTTATAAATGAGTAATATATATGTTAAATGAATCAATATTTATTTATTAGGCTATGGTCTGGTGGACTTAAACTACCACATGAACATCAATTTGCTGAATTTATTGAAGGTTTAGGTACAGGACAATTAGTTGGTCGACAAGTTCTTGCATCACCATGTCATGGTGAAATTCAAGTTGGTGTACGTGATCAACATGGTTTACTTGAAGTTGAAATAGTACGAGCAAGAAATTTACTTCAAAAAGCTCTATATAAAATGCCACCAGGTATAATAATATTGATTTTTTTCTATGAAATTATTTCCATAATATGTTTTGTTTTTGTAATAGCTCCTTATGTAAAAGTTTATTTACTTGATGGAAAAACTTGTGTTGAAAAGCAACGTACACGAACAACACGTCGTACACTTGATCCTTTAATACAACAAATACTTATATTTAAAGAAAATTATCGAGAAAAAGTTTTACAGGTAAATAAAAAAAAACAAAAAAATGATTTTTTTTTATATTAGCAAATTTTATTTATTTAAAATAGATAAGTGTTTGGGGTGATTATGGAAAATTAGATAGAAAAGTATTTATGGGTGTATGTCAAATACATTTAGAAGAACTTCATTTAAATTCTTCCGCTCAAGTACTTGATTGGTATAAATTATTCTCTGCTAATTCATTAATGAATAATTATACGATTGTACAACAATCACCAAAAGGAAAAACATCAATAACAACAAATGATTTACATAGTGCATTGAAAAATAATTCCAGGTATACAAAAAACATTTATTTGAATACTAGTATTTTATTATTTTATTTAGATCTTGATTTTCTTTGTTTGCTTTTCTCATGATTCCACTTGGCGGCTTGTCGAGATTACAGTCTCTATGTATGTATATGTATATGTATGTATGTGTGTTTTTTTTTTCTTTTTTTTTTTTCTCTTTCGATATGATTGGTATGTATGCATGTAAGACAACAAACAAATATTTTTAGTTACAATTTATTTATGGATTATGCTTGTTTTTCTTTCCCTTTTTTTTTCTTCTTTTCTTTTTTTTTTTTGTACGCTCTCGGTTTTTTTCGGCCAGATGAGAAAATAAATAAATGTGTATTTAATGATTTTCAAAAATTCTATTTACATTCACTTGATCAATTGTAAGACACATAGAACATATGTGTAATAGTGAGATTGACAGACTTGATAAGATGTGATATTAGGTTGAAAGAAGACAAAAAAACACCAAAACAACAGTTATATAAACTTGATACATTGATAACATTATCTGTTTATTTGTTTGATTGACATTGAAGTTTGACTCATGTACAAAATGATTCAAACAAGAATAACATTTTTTTTTATTCGATAAAATTTTGATTTATGATCGATTGTAACTAAATAAGAACTAATAAATATTGTTTATAGAAAAAAAAAACTGAAGGATCTCATTCAATCAAAATGAATTAATTTCATAAATCTCTTTTCTTTTCTTTTATTTATTATAAATAAATTCTACACATTTCTTGACCACAAAATACCAATAAAAAAAGAAAAACCATGTTTCTCATTTATTATTTTCACATATTTTATTTGTATTACATGTTGATTTTCTAATCAGTCATTATATATATATATGCATAAATGTCTATTGACTTTTAAAAAGATATTGATTCATTACTATTACAAAATACTATCAAGTCATAAATCTTCAAGTCTGACAAAAACATCTGACTCATCTTTATTAACATTAAGAAGATAATAAATATTAATAATGTATACCCGCCATAATAAATAGGACATGTCTTTCTTATTATGGAAATTCACATTGACTTTCTATTGACAGTTACTTTTTTATCTCAAATTTTGCCTAGAAATCAAGGAGTTAGTTATTTATTTTTTTTTTTTGGAAAAATTCTAGTTTCCTTTTAGAAATATAATTGAATAATAAACAAAAAGTTTGTTCTTAGAGTTTAATTCATGAAGATGGGAAGAAATTATGTAAAACATTTTTTTTTTTTTTGTAACTAATCTTCATGTCCAGTCAAATAAATAAATATAACTAACTATAAAACAATATATCATTTCTTCTCAATTATATTTTTTCTTATCACCTGAATAAACAATAAGTAAAAGACTGAATTATAAAAGATAAAAAGAAAAATTTGCATATTTTGCTTTCTATTTTATATGATTATTTGAATTGTTTTATATTTGAAATTGATAGGTCATAAAGAATTTTATATTTTTAACTTTATATATTTCATAACAAGTAGTCTGATGAGATATAAGATTGTTAGACTGATCGCTTAATTATTTTCAAGTATGATAGTTGACATTGAGAGCATGTATCGTCGATCATTTGTTCTGCCATATTCAATTAAATTAATGTTATGAATAGAGAATTGTCATGCAAGTCTTTGTTTCACACTTTACAAGGCTGATTGATCTTGTGCTTCAATATATAACAGTCTTTGAAAATAAAAAACAAAAAAAAAAAAAGAGAGAGAATCGAATGAATATATTTAATTTCTATACATTGAAAATTGCGTACTTATATACAAGTTTCTTTTCTTTTTTGTTTTGTTTTGTTTTGTTTTGCAAACAGCTGTATCTTATTAATTCATATTCAACATATTTTCTTGTTAATCAGGAAGCATAAATTCAATTATCATCGATCATTTTATTCGCATATAAATCTCTATTTATAGAGACAGATTGAGAGAATTATGAGGCGAAACATAATATTGGATATTATTTTGCCTTTCTATTATTATCTAATACTACATCATTGAGAAATTTTATTCGGCATATTTTCATATGCTTTCTTTCTTTTTTAATAGGAAATTGGTTCTTCATCTGTCCAATTTATGTTGACTGACGGTTATCCCTCAACTTAACCTTGTACATATGCTTTGTCTGTGTCTCTTCCTCTCTCTCTCTCTCTCTCTCATTGACGCTTCTTGACTTCTCATCATCATCAACACGTATCTTAAACGGAATGGGATTCGTCAACAAATAATATGCTAAGAGTTGATAGCTACATCATCGTCCTTTGAGGATTCGTTATATTGGATAGATCGACAAGGCAATAGACAGTCAAAGGAAAAAAAAAGGCACCGCGTCACTTGTAGAATTCTATAGCTCGTAACATTGACCATCAGTTAACATTATTTCTGCTCATCACTTTTTTTCTGTGTCAATTATCTGCTCCTATTTTCCGACATTATGCATACATAAATAGAAATAGTCATCAGGAAATAATTAGAGAAGAGAATTTTTAAAAACGTTTTTCTTTTTTTGTTTGCTCTAATGCACATATATAAACAAATCAATGAATTGACATTGGATAGAATTTATTCCAAGATCATGACATTGATAGACGATCACATGTCAATATAAAATTTATTTACTTCATTTTTTTTTATAATCATTACATTTTACTTATGTATTTCATACATTGAGAATGTCAATAATATATATATATATATACACTTATTTCGGTGTATGTATGAGTTCTATAGGACAATGGATGTTTGGATAGTTGATTATATGCGTTTTGTCTTATTGAATATATGCCTACGCGCTAATTTTTCCTTCCGTTTCTTCATCTTCATTCGCATAGGACAACAAATAAAATAGCATTAACTCCCCCACCCCCCCCCCCCCGTCCCTCACCATCCATCCCTCTCCCTGAAAAAAAAAGAGAGGGAGAAAGGAAAAAATAGGAACGCGATAGCCATCGACAAATGCGTTATCGAAAACACAAACATATAAAAAAAAAATGGTAATTTGTCAATCAATATCCCAGAGATATTGATCTATTTTATCAATGTAAAATAAGAGAAAAGATAAAAGCTAATAAATCCCATTGCTATATAAAGCGCGTCTCTTAGTAAACACATATGCATACACAAAAACGATACATTTATTTTTAGGAGAACGCCAAGGTTCACTACTCAATTGTGACTCTTCAAAAGAACCTTATTCATTTTTTTTTTTTTCTTGGTATTATTTTTTTTTTCCTTCGTGTTCAAATAGATGATGAATGTCGATCGCGTGGTAGCATTCTTTTGCTCAATGCCAGATGATATTTGATCAAAAATAAATTAAACATGAGCTTTCAGCTCTACATCGATTGTCGTCACCATAAGGTAAAGGCAGGCGAAGAACAATTATAACTTTTCTCTTTCTTCTGTTGTTCTCATTTCTCCGATCGTTCGTTCGATCTACTGTCGTTCTTTTTTAAGTAAACGGATCGATCTCCTGTGACCAACATTCATCAAAAAAACAAATGGTAGTGGAAACACAAACTATTTCTTTTTTTCAATATTTCTTCGTTATAATCATTGAACATATTCACATTGAAATATGATAATTCTTTCGTCATCATCAACAACAACAACTATTATGACAATGTCGAATAATGTTACTTCATTATCAATATCAACTATTGAACAATTATCTTCATCATCTTATTATACAAGTATGTTTAAACGTCTGTTTATTGTATTTGGTTCAATATCATTTCTTTGGTTAATTATGGGACTTATATTTGCATCTATTCAAACATTTCGTCATTTAAAAAAAAAGACACATCAAAAATTATTACTTTACCATCGACCATTACCATCAACAGTACAATCACAAACACCACCATTACCATCATCATTATTATTACCATCTATTGACAAAACATTAAAAGAAGATAATATATCTGATAATGATGATGATGATGGTGATGATGATGATGATGATCAAGCAAGTGTTTTTACTTCTGTATCATATATTTCTGAACGATCAAAAAGTACACATGAACATACACATGTTATTGCATTATGTGAACGAATACCTGAAGAAGAATTTGAATTAACATTAACAACACCTGTTGGTATTTCTAATATGGCTTATAGTCAATCAACATTATCTTCATCACATACTGGTGAATCATCACTTCTACATTATCCAGCTTGTCAAAATTTTGCTTATTCACAATCGACTCTTGCATCATCTACAATTGATTTAAATACTTCAACACCATCAGTAACTATTCCTAGTAATGAATCATCATCAACAAAATCATTATCAAATCGTTTTGCTAATTTAAAACGACATTCATCACAATCATCAACAACTACAACATTTAGTCAGATCACTAATGCTACATATCTATCATCAAGTAGTACATCGACATCATCAAGTATACCTATAACATCAATAAAAACAATGCCATTGCCTACAGTAATGATTACTGATTGTGATCGTTTACAAACTGATATTATTGAACTTGATGATTTTGAACCGGAAAAAGATTGGCGTCGTGCACGTCCTGAATTAAGATTATTACTCAATGATCGAATGCCACAGGCAGTAAGATAATTTATTTGAAATTATATCAAATTATGTACTTGTTAATTTTTGTTTTTTTTTTTTCTTTTTCTCTTGCGTCTGTAAAAAAAAAGAAAAAAGAAATTCCGATAAGATAACATTATTTCGATGATTGAATATTTATTTTTTTAGTAGAATATTATCAAAAAAAAAAAAAAACATATACGAAATGAAATTATAATAAGGCATAAATGAATAGATAATTAAACAAAAAATAATTACAAAAATATTGTTTAATCAACATAAATAATGATATTTTCATTGGTTTTTGATCGATTTCATCAGCAATTTTACGAAGATGTTGAGCAATTTGTTGAATAATTAATTTTCTATTTTCCATTTGTCGTCTTTTACAATTGAATAGACACAAAACATATAAGAACGTTTAATTTATATTATACAAAAAAAAAAAGAAGAAGTCAAAGAAAGAAAGATTATGCTAAGTTCTAAAAAGGTGATAAATACACATACACACTTTCACCGGAAGTCTATGATCATATTGTTTAATATAGATATTGAACGTGTACTATAATACGCAAGAATAAAACATAGCACAATTCTCATTGATATATACGATGCAAAAAAAAAAAAAAAAGGAACAAATGAGTAAACATCACACACGTGTAAGGCACGTTCCTCTATATCAAAGCTAAGATCAAAGATAAAAGATGATAAGCAATATAATCAGATTCAAGAGCAATATGTTATTATTAAAAGTCATATAAGGTTCACAAAAAAAAAAAAATCGGTAATCATGTGTATTGATCATTTAGTTGAATAATTAATCATACTTAATTTTTATGATGAGATAAGAATCGATACATATGATTAATGACTATAAATTATAACAAAAAAAAAAAAGAATAGCGCGAAGCCATTCGTATAATATGATTGAAAGAGAGTTTAATCTCATGTATTCTAAATCTGATGTTAAAAAAAAAGTTTCTATGATTCGATAAACTTGAAGGTCATCATATTGACAGATGTGTTTTCTGTTAAAACAATTATTTATAATGAAAAAATTGAGCTTTTCTGTATGTTAATAATAATTGCAGAGTATTCTCGATTTTACAGTCATTAATATCATAATCTCTGTTGTTTTTTTCATTATATCCAAAAATTAATTTCCATATTTATGAAGAAATATGAAACTATCTTTTGTTTGAAATAATCTAACATTCAACAAGATTTATTTTTTCTTCATTACCGTAAATGCTAATAAGACTTCAAAGAATAATATCTATCAAAAACTAAATTTTTCAACTTCGAAGATCTGTCAATTGAATTCTATTGACTAGAACAAATAAATCTCTACATCTCTCGATGACATTTTTGTTTTTTTGATCGAGATACATTAATCTTACGGAATACACAAACAACAGTGTTTCCATACAAAATACAAAGGAAAAAAAAAATATATGACTTTTATGCCTTCCGTAAGGTTGATATATCTCTTTTAAAAAAAACCTATTGTAGAGAATTGCAAAATATTTCATTCTGAATGATTGAAACAGACTTCAATAAACTAAAAAACTTAGTTTATCAGAAACATCGATTCACTCTGTGTTTATCACAACGAAGAAAAAAACAAGAATAGAAAATAAATCCGATCGAATTATGCTGAAAATTACAATACTTTAAAATTATCATAGAAAGAAAATTGAATATTATAAATAAATTCTTGATCTTATTCAATTGAGTAATATATACACTTCAATATGTTTTGTCATTTTTTTGTATCTCAATTGAACTTTATTTTTGATTACCACTCGGTTGTCTAGGCAACAATTTTTCTTATTTCACTGGAGAGAGCAAAGAAAAAAAAATCAATAAAGAAAAACGTGTGGCATATAATTAAGTTTTTTAAGCATATCTGTGTCTATGACAAAGTTATTGAAGAAAAAAAAAAAAAGAGAACAGAGAGAGGAAACAAAACATTATAGCGTTTGTTCAACTTAAAAAAAACAAAACAATTTTCTATTCTTTTCTTCTCTATTTCCACACCTTGTCGTAACACAACAAATCTACGAAAATAAATCTTTGTGTATGTACAATAAACTGGTGAGTCTACTATATTATATTTTGATATTTAATATTCTCAATTTTTCACATCTTAAAAAACGAAATTTATTTTTGAAAACAAAAAAATAAAATCGAGAATAGGATAAGTCAATTTTATTTTCTAACACAATTGTCAAACGACCATTAAAAAAACAAAAAAAAAGGTAAATTGAATTGTTAATCAATTCTTTTTTCTTATTTTTTCTCTCAAACGAAGAATATTATAAAACCATACAATATTTTCTTTAATTTTTAAATGTTCATAATCAACATATATATATATATATTTAGACGGAACTTTAAACGACAAATTATTTCCTCAGTAGCAAAAATATTTTATTTAGTTTTTTTTTGTTTCTTTTACTTTAGATTCCTATTTTCTCATGACAACGAACGCCAATCATTTCGATAGAGAAGATTTTCGTTGTGGTGTATGTCGACAAAAAGGTGCCTTTCATTGTGAACATGATACACCCTATCGTGATATTTATTTGGGTACATTTGATCCAAAAGAATTAAGAAATATTGTTATCAATACTGAAAAACCTAAAAATAGAAGTAAAACATATGATAATTCAACAAGTAATGGTATAAATTCAAATACCAATGTTCAATATCAACAAAGCAAACAATTCAAAACTACATCAACAACTAATCAAAATGCTACGAAAAACATAGAACAAGATAAAAAATCAAAATCATGTACTATTCTTTAAAGATTTATTTATTGCACTGTGTCATTCATGTACGGTTATATTTCGTAAAAAAAAAAAAAAAAAAGAAAATTTTTTCTTTCATTAAGATTTATTTATAATATTTTACCATCAAAACAAAAACTAATAGCAATAGAATTTTCAATGAATAGAAAATGATGTTAATTTTTGATAAAAAGTCAATTATTTTTAGAATAATAGGAAAATCTGCAATAGCTTCGAGTGATATGAATTAAAAAAAAATTCAAATTAAAAAAAAAATCAAGCAATTCTCACATAATTTTCTTTTAGTAAAAGAAATGTTTATCGTATTATTTATATAAATGTATAATTTATTCTATTGACGTCAGAACACATATTTATTCACGGATATTAAAAGAGCATATTTAAGTAGTTAAAGAACTTAAATAAAGGTGTAGAATTTTCTATAATATAGAGTTAATAATTTACCTTATTTTATTCATAAATTTGATATTAAATCAAACATTTCAACTTCAATTTCGAAAAATGAATTAAAATGTCCAAGATTTGTTTTATTTTTTGTCTATATTAGTATAATTGATAATTATACACGAAAAAAATTACTATGTTGGTGACTATCATGATAACATAAATGACACAAATTCATTGTATTTTTCGAAAGACAAAGAAAAGAAAAGACTTATTAGAAATACAAATCAAATTATTCATACATGCAAACATTTTTCAATAATAAATATAGTCGTCATCAGCCTTTCAAGAATAGACAAGGATACGTATAACAATTAGCAAAAGATAAGATAACAAAAAAAATTCTTTTCTAATAAATCATATTCAATATAGAAAGTATATATATATATATATAATATTAATAATCGGATGAAAATAAAATTCAATCGTTTGACGATCGATTAGATAAAAAGACAAGTATTATCATAATTTCTTTTCTTTTATTCTTTGAAAGATGCCTAGTTCATGATTGATATTTGACCTTCTTCTATTTGACAACAATATATGATAGTTTTCAGTTGTTGTTAGAATATGTTTTTTTTAAAATCATTCACAGTTGCTTGTATTAACTCTCTTTTCTAAAATATAAATTATTATTAAAATCTTTAACATTCTTTATTCAAGAGAAAAAAGGATTTACTACTTAATTAATATACATATGGATCCAATCTTACGATAAAATAAATTATTCAATATCCATCGTCTGGGATGTGTAAAAAAAAACAAATCAAATAAATCTTGTCTAGATTAAATTACTGTATATGTTCAACGTACTCTTGTCTTTTATCTTAACAACAATTGTTTTATTTATCCCATTGAGAAAAAAAACAAAACAAAGAATATTGGTAGTGTGTTATAAAGATATTTATTACTCACTTTACTTTAGATAAAAAACAAAAAAAAAGTAGTATGTGTGATGATTCTTAGTTTGTATTCAATGTCTTTTTTTTATCAAAAACAAAATATTCAAATTTAATCGATTATATTATAAAGAAAATTGCTCTTTAAAGATTTGATGTGAATTCATTTATTTTTTTGCTTCAAGTACATACATATATATCTTGAATTATTTGAATATATCATTTACATATTAGATAAAAAGAAAAAAATTTTCAGTCAAATTTAATAGTCTATTTGTTTTTTGATGATCAATTGCTCATTTTTGAGTTTCTTTCTTTCTTTCTTTTTTTCATGAGACATACTTATTTTTAAATATCGATGCATCATCGTCCATCATCTAGTAAAATGCGTATATTTCGTTTTCTATTCATCATTATCTACATAACTTAAACTTATCAATACAACAAAAATAAAAAAGTTGGCTAATGACATGTAGATCTTTGTATGTACTATTTAGTATTGTTTATCGAATAGTATTGTAGTGATGACAGTCAAATATGTATGAATGTATATATATATATATATATATATATATGGGATAAAACAATGATGGACAATGGTTTAGTGGTTCTAACACTGTTCAATAACAGTAAACGATAGAAGAAAAAAAAAGAAAGCAAGGAAGATGGTTATTGAGGGGCTTTCGTTCTCATTCTCATCAAAATAATTAACTATGGCCGTAGACGACGGCCTATTTTTATGCACATATGTATATCGCGTGTTCTCTCATCTCTTTGTCTTGCATTATTGGATATTGTTGAACGGCGAAAAGAAGGAGTATAACAATAAGAAATGAGAAAAGAAGAAGAAGAACAAGAGACAAAACGTATGTGTATATACAAAACTCTACGAATGAACGTATTTATTTGACCATTACTCGAAAGCAAGAGAGAGAATCTTTCTCTTCTATTCTTCTCATTTGTCCAAGAATAAGTAAGATGTAGAAGTTCAGAAGCCTTCTTAACTTTTTTACCTTGATTCTAGAAAACATAATCATAATGATTTAGATAGAAAAATAATACAGATAAATAATTTATCTTCTAATTTTCTTTCGTGACTTATCAGAATTTTCTTACTGTTAGTTTTTCTTTTCTTTTTTTTTTTTCTTTTAAGAGCATCCCCCAATAGGCATGTCACATATTTGTTGATTCCACTTCGATTACGTAAAGTTTATCGTCCGTCGTTATAGAATCAAGTTTACCTTTGTTATAAAAAAAAAAGAAGAATCTTGAACAATTAGTTGAATATAACAAAAATTGTTCACTTTTTTCCTATTGAAGTTATATTCATCTTATAGACTGATTTATTCTGTTTTTCTTTTAGGAGGGTGAAGGATATTCTAGATAGATAGAAAATGTTTATATGGTATATCCTATTATTAATTATTTCTTATGTTTATTCAATTGAATTTAATTTAAATGAAATAAATAATAAAAATAAAAATAATCAATTTGTTATTTATCCATCTTTATATTTATGTAATAATGGTTCATTTTCATTTGAATTTCGTACAAAAACAAAAAATGGTTTACTTTTTTATACATATGATAATAATTATTATAATGATGATTCAATACTTATATCAATATATAATGGAAAATTAATAGTTGAACAAAAATTTGGAAAAAATAAATCATATGAAAAATTTGAACAAATAATTAATGATAATAAATGGTATAAAATTGTATTTAAAAAACGTTCATCATTAATAATTGAAATTTTACTTTATACAGTTGCTTTAAGAAATGTTGAAAATCGTATAATAAAAACAAAAATTTTAAATTATGTACCATTTACAACATTAAATATAAGTTCATCAGTTTATATTGGTGGTTTACCATTAAATATATTTAATAAAAAATATAATTCAAATGATTTTTTATTTTCATCATATCAAGGTTATATACGTAATCTTCGTTATGGTTTATGTGGATGTCCTGAACGTATTCAATATCCTATTTTTTCATCATTATCAAATAATTATCAATCTGAAGTATGTGAACAACAAATATCATTATGTTCAAGTTCATCATGTGAATGTTTAAATGTTGATGAAGAACCACGATATCAATGTGATTGTAGCAATAAAACATGTAGTATTTTAACTATGATGAGTAAGTCATTATGTTGTAAAAAAAAAAAGATGAAGATATATTAACAATGACTTATCTAATATTTATAATTATGAATATTTAACCTTAAAGACATAAGCTGTTTCATCATGCTTATCTTTTTTTTTCATATTAATAATGAATATTAGTTGGTTGAAATCCGACGATAATCTTTTTCAATATATTTCATTCATTTTTACGCAATACATTATGTTCTATTTTTCTGCTTATATGTATATATAAGCAACACCATATCAAACAATGCATGCGATCAACCATATGGAGGATCCTATGGGCATCTCTCCTAATGAAACACTGCTTGTTCGGTCAGTCAGTCAGTCAGTCAGTTCGATATGTTTACATTATGTCTGCCCGATTAAACGCCCAACACATATATACATATATACATACATGCACATACGCTGATCATCTAACTGACCTGTTGTTGTTGTCTACTTATGTACGTTTACTATAGAGGCAATACTGCTCATTTTTCTTTGTAATGCATGATGTAATTTATGATTGATAATCATCATTATCAAGACTAGTAGTAGTAGTAGTACTACTAATCTTTGATCACAAGCGTTAATTGTTTTGATATGCTATTCTCACACATGTCATTCTATAAACAGTTGAACTTGTTCGCGTGTATATATTCATCAACACAAAGAAAAGATAATGAGAATGATCGCCTGTCAATAAATGATGAAACACACACACATATATATATATATTTATACATACACACCTACATTGTGAAGTTCTTTTTCTTTCTTTGCACAGTCTATGATTAAAGTGTTCATATTTTCTATACAAACGTACAATCGATGAAGATTTGCCCGAGACAAAAAAAAATAATGAACACTTTGTATATATATTTATGTGTGTGAACATAGAACAGATTGACTCTCGAGTGTGTGTCATCTTCTTTCACTCAACTTGCGGTAGAGTAACAAAGCTAAACTGTTTTCACTCACTTCATATAGAAGATCGAAAGGATGAAGGTGAAGTGAATAGTGTATACTTTTGAATTAAACGATCAAGTAAACAGTTAAACGGGTCATGGTCCTGTCTTTGTCAAGATGTCACACATATATAGAAAAAGGAACTTAAGAATGATTGAAAGAAAACTTAACGTGTATGCATATACATGTATGCTTGTCGTTTTCGCTCAATTAATCATAATGTTGGATCTACATATAAATATATGTAGTTGATAATAGCCAATACGAAATGCTTGCAATTGACATAGACAACTTGCTTTGCTTCATTTCCTGTATGTCATTTAGAACGTCTATATATATGACATGCTTATATGCTAATCGCTTATATAATAATATCAAAGAAATAAAATAAATGTTCAATATCTGTCAATATTCACACATACACAAGAAGACAAAAAAAATTAGAATTTTAATCTCGTATATAAATATTAGAATAAAAAAAGATTTATATATTTATATTTTCTTTTCATATTTAAAATCGAAATAAATCAAATCTTTTTTTTTTTGTTGCTTGCATTGATTTATTTATCTATTCTTAAAACATATTTAATAAAGTACTTCTAAAAATGATGAAAGAAAAAAAACTCGGAAACGTTTATATACTTAATGATTGTTTTTTAACAACGGAACTAACCATTAAACATTCTTTTGAAGTAGATGAGAGTCATTCATAATGTCATAATTGAATATTCATTTTCTACTTTTTTTCTTTTCTTCCTTATGTAATATTAAGATATAGACAAAAGAACAAGAAAATTCAACTAAAATTAATAATAAATCTAATTATATATATATTTTTTTTTTGTGTAAATCATAAAAGATAACTTAAGGGTAAATAAACAATTAATATATTAACAAGAAAATAATAATTGACAAATGGTATTTGTTATATTTTGAAAAGAAATAATAAATAAAAGAACAAACTCTAAAGCAAAATCTATGAATAAATTTATGCTCATTAATAATCAAAAAAAAAAAATTTTTCTTTTTTTGTTATTTAGATAACAATCTTATTCAATATAAAATTGATTTTACATCTGTTGAATATATATCAAAAAGTGACGCAATATCATTTACGTATGGTACATATCCAAATATTTTTAATGTTATTAAAAAAAGTTTGTATAAAAAAAAAAATTAAATTTTTTTTCTTTTTATATTTATTAAGAAAAATTTATTTTTTTATAATTAAGATGTTAAAACAAATTCTAATGAAAATAATCTTATAACATTTTCACCTATTCATAATCAAGATGATAATTGTATGTGGAATTTAAATATATGTTCAACAGGTAATCATATAAAAATAAAATAAAAAAAAAAAAGATTTTTATTATTTTTCCTTTCTTATAGATTTAATTTTAACATTTATTTTTTCAATTGAACATTTTAATAATTCACAAACTATTTTTACACAATATTTAAAAAATGATGCATCAATTCATATTAATTTTATTGTTTTAAATTCATCATCATCAAATTTACATTTTGATCTTTGGTTACCATTTAATCGTGGTATTTTACGTACACAACTAACTGAATTTCCTTATCAAATACCATTATTTATTAATCTTGTTTATCGTTCACCATTATCCTTATCTGTTTTTCTTTTTGGCCAACTTATAGATTATACAACAAGTTCGATTTATATTCAATCGAATAAGCCATCTTCATTATCTTCTTCATCTTTTAATACATATGTTGATTTTCACTCAATATCTTGGTCTTATCAAAAGCAACCATTTGGTAGGTATTCAATATTAAGATTTTTGATTTTTTTTTCTGATAGAGAATTTTATTTCTATCACTATTAGAATGTTGTGCATATATGCACAATGATGAGCGTTTTAAACGAGATACAACAAATCTCGATTTATGTCAATGTAAGTCTAAAAAAAGAATAGTATAGTCTAACTAATATTTAGTATTACTCTTCTCTAGTTATAATATATATTGAAAGAAAAAAAAAAACAACAATAATATGTAAATGTGTGAATTTATAAGTATAGTATTTCTTTTTAACATTTATTACATACAAGTTGATCGATAAATGTTTAAATTATGACGAATGTTTAATAAAAATATTAGAGAAAAAAAAATTAGATTTTAATTGTGACTGTTTGACAGACATTTGTATATATATATATTGCGTGTTAGGAACAATAAATCTTAATCTGTGAACGATGAAAGATGATCAAACATGCAATGATTAAAGATAGGAATTAGACAGTTTTAGAATCTTTTGTATTCTTACATCATTGATATGCGATAATTTTGAAAAAAAAAAAAGAAAATCATATTAAGATATTTTTGATAAATAATATTGTTAGTATTCGTAGTTGATCATTATTTTTTTCTGCAACATGGAATTATAACTATTTTTTTCAGCTGACTGTCTGGGATATATTTTTTCTGGTTATATGAGATTATATTGGAATGTGGAAAGAAAGAAAGAAAGGAAAAAATATATGACTATATCTAATGAGACATAAATTATACGATTAAGAGATTGAAGTAATCATTTGCTATCATCAATCGTAATCGTAACATTTACTTGTTAGGTGCGTTTAGTACTTCTTGTCTTTTTTCTTTTATTCTTTATCAATTTGATTTCTCATTTCTTTTTTTTTTGACATGACAATTTATTCTTGTAGCATTGGGAGTTTTTTTTTTTCTTCGTCTACTTCTTCTTCTTCTTCTTCTCACTTTTTCGTTTTGTACTTATGAGTGTTCTTATATAATACATAGTATGCATGTAGTTTGATGTCTCTTTTGTTTGTGTCACCAAGAAAATTGAGAATTTACTTGTAATTTGATTCATCTTGTCGGTCTTCATTTAACAAAAGAAAATTAGTTTTGTTCATTTTGAAAACATAAATTTAAACTTATAATATGATTCAATTTTAATATAAAATAATATTTATCTCAATCATGCGACATATGCATTAATACTTTTACCGATCTGATACATATATATATATATGCATTTATACATATACAATTTAATTGTGCACAAGTGTGCGCGACATCGAGAAAGGTTATAGCGCGTGAGAGAGAGATTAGGGTCAATGCAAACAGAGGTGTTGATACTCTATATAGGGCCTCACGAAACACTAGTGTTACAGTGGAACCATTTTCTTCCTTTGCTCTCTCTCTCTCTCTCCCTCTTCCTTTTCTTGTCTCGATCGGACAGACAATTCAATGAAGAAGAAATCATGCATCAGCCGGCGACGACTAATTTCACTCTTGATGCTCACGCTCTTTTACTCATACAAAATACATATATATATATATATATATATATATATATATATATGTATATATATATATATGTATACACTCAGTGTGTCGCCGAGAGATGAAGAAGACAGACACGAACCGATTTTATACTGCTGACCACTATGACTACTACTACTACTACTACTACTACTACTATTGTTCTTTCTCCCTCGACAACGCCGATACAATTTTATTTTTTCGCTTCGGCCCAGAAGGAGAAAATTTTTCTCTTCTCTTTTCTCGCACTCATTTCTTTACTCGTCACTCACAGTTCATTCTTATTCTCTTCTTCCATCCTCATCATCTGCTCTCATCCACCATCGACATATACATCGTATATAACGTAGAAACGATGGTGAACTGTGTGTATAACTTACACTAGTCTATATGAAGGAGCGAGAAATCTTTCTTCTTCTTCTTCTTCTTCTTCTTCTTGTCTCTCTCAATGTGTGTCTTTTCTTTTTCTTTTTTTGCATTTTGATGATGGTCATCGACCATCCATCCACCCTACACAACGATAATGAGAGAACGAGAGAGACAAGAGAGATAAAACATTCATATATTTTTCTTTTCTCTCAACATAGATGCGCTCTCATACATCATTCATGTGTACAATGTTAAATTCTTTGAATAATCAATATACATATATAGACTAATCATGAAAATCATCATTAAATATTTCTAATCAAAATCTATGTCGTACACAAAACAATATTCATTTATTCTTATTGTATTTTTCCTTCAAATATATTTATATCAACAACAATCTTTAAAATTATTGAATGATGATAATATAAATAATACATCATCGTCATTCAATGAGACTTTTACTATCGGTAAGCTCTTGAATTTAATATATATATACATATACAAGAATTTAAAATGATGATACATTTTCATCTTCACACATGCTTAGACGAAATAAATAAAAATAAAAAAAGCTTCAACTAGCATATTGAATGTCGATATTATTATTATTATTTTTTTGCACTTATCGATACTAGAGTTCGAAAATTAATCAGACGAATGACTAACATGACTTCAATCATCATCATCATCAACTATTGAAATATATATTTCTTTATGTCTAGGCGGTACTCTTACAGAAGCATCATTAAATAATAATCGTTTGATACCGAAAACGATTAGTGAATATCCATCACCACTTAATGTTCGAACAAAATATACAACTGATGAAGAAGATTATACATTATCAGAATCTATAGCATTTTCTATTCTTACAAATCAACAAATATCACAAGCAACAACCATACTTGCTGGATTTGCATATGATAATATTTATTATGTATTTGATATCGAGGTTTGATTTGATTATAGATAAGAATTTTAAAAAAAAAAGAAATGATCGATGAAATATGTTTTATTTTCTTATTAGGATGGTAAACCAAAAATAATTTTTTCACAAGATGATCTTCCTGATGTTATTTTAACAACAAAACCTAATAATCAAATAATAATTAATGATGGTAAATGGCATAAATTAACTATACAACGATTAGAAAGAAAAGTAATTTAAATTCTATTTTTTTTTTTAAGAGAAAATAAAATTTTAATATTTTCTATAGTTACATTTTGATCTTGATAATATTGAACAATCTGATGTACAATTACCTGATGGATGGCAAACAAAGACAAATATATTTATTGGTGCAGAATTAACACCCGTACCTAATGGAGATTTTAATGGAAAAATTGGAGATGTAAGTTTAATTAATGAATATATATATATCTATAGGATACCTTAAAAATTCATCTTATAAAAGAATAATAAATGTTTTTTTTTCTTCTAAATTATTACATTAATTTAACTATAAAATTTTCGATGATTTCAATTGTCTTATTCTTTTTTCTCCTTTCTTATAAATCATTTATAATTAAAACATATACTAAATTATTAATGTTTGTAATTTAATCGTATTGATAATCTATATCGACATAGAAAAGAACAGGACTTCTCTACGTTTTCTTTTTCCATTTCTTTTTTTTTGTTGTAATATGATCATGTTCTCAGCTTCATAACGCCCGAGGTTAAACATCGGTTAGTTTTCTTGAACAATTCGATTAACAAAAAAAAAAAAAGAAAATGTGTGAATATACAAAGATAAACATACACATATTCTTTGTTTAGAATTTTGATGACCTTAAAAATTAGATTTAATATAAGATTTCATTCATTAACAGTTTTTTGTTTGTATGTGTGAATGTTTATCTAAATGAAGCTCGGAAATAACAGTAGTCATACTTTTTTTTTTTTTTTTTCTTATTACATTTGATCAATCGAAATGACATAATAAGAATAGTAATGATAGGGTCAGGTCGTGTTTTTTTTTGTCTTTTGAGTCAAACTGAATTCAAAAAAAAAACAATAACTATGAGTTCATGAATATATTAACGTTTTATTTTCAATAGCTTTTTGTATATATTAGCCAGGAGGGTTTAAATAAGTCTCAATGATCTATGATGAACTATAGAACCCTTTAGCTTGTATGTGTGTGTGTGTGTTTCTTCCTCCCGGTCTGTTTGATTATCGTAGTCTATGTATTTCTTTTTTTTTCTTTACATGTCAATATTATGATGATATTTGAATTGAAGTAGAAAATTGTCTCCATAATAAGAGAAATAAGGAAAGTATGTAAATGGAAATTAGATTATTATCGATGTAACACATTGTTAATTTAGTATGCTATGTATTTGTAAAGAATGGACAAATAGAAACCATTAACATTTAGCAAAAAAAAAAAGAAAAATCGATTTTTTTTTTTTTTTTTTGTTGATTAAATTTGTACAACTAGATTAAAAGGACATGTCTAGATTAAACATTATACAAGTGAATTAGGTAATCCAAATAGAGTGATTTAGAAAAATGGATAAATAATTTTCTAAATGAATAATGTATACTATAGTCTTAATAGATTACTATTCATAATTATATTCAATCAAAATGATAAATATTCATTTTAATTGCTAAGTATTTCATCATATCTATTTACAATCACATTTTTGTAATCCAAAAACAAAAAAAAAAAAAACGAAAGTTTTTAAAAGATATCATAAACATGTTCAAAAATAATCATTACAATCATTTTATTAGAAAATAAAAGGTAAAAACAAATTTACATTTTAATATAACTCATCCTTGTCTGTAAAAAAAAGAGAAGTTCACTAAAATAATGAAATCAAACAAAAAGATAAAAGGATCCTTTATATTCGTTTGTATCTTATAACATGTTCAAATCTTAATTCAATCAGAAATGTGTTAAACCGATCACAGTTATGAATGACATACGACTGCATTCTCTATCAGATTTTGCTTGTCAAATTTTACTCAACGAAACCATTGATGTCATATAAACATAAATAATATCGATATTTTTCAAACCGAACCAATCTCATCTCTATAAAATAGAAATAGAATAATTTTATATAATGACGTAAACAAAGATAGCTGAGTTTCTATAGATCAATAACACATAAACTGAATTCTATCACGATCTTAAGGCCTGCCATCTCAGCGCATTTCTTTAATCGAAGAGTTCGATTATGTTAAGTGCTCAAGGAGAAAAAAAGCAAGACTTGAGTACTTCACAGTATCATACTTCACTCGCACTTCGGAGTACTCAAGTCTCGCTTTTTTGTCTTTTATAAAAGCTCCAATGTCAAAATTCTGATTATACCATTAATGTTATATAAAATTTTCTTTATTATAATAAAAGCTATCAATTAATCTAGAAAATTTTCAAAATATATATATGAATGAATCGTATTTCTGTTGTACAATTAGCCAAAAAAAACTGAAAGTTTGTTTATCAAAAATTAAAATTGCGCGTCTTATGCGTCATCCTTTACTGAGTATAAGGTAAAAATTTCCCAACTACCACATGTCAGGAAACTGAGATATCTCTGTATTAATATTCGTTCATCCAGTCTCATAAAAAAAGGTCTAAAATATTAGCTCAACAGCAGACACATGATATATCGTTCGATAGATTTCAATGTGCTTAATCGAGTGAGACTATGAATAGTCAGAGTGGTCTCAAAAAACTGATGCAAAACTCTAAGAAACGTAAGTATTCTTTTAAGTCGAGCGAGATGAAAAGACGCACAAAAAGTGTTTCTCTACATTTCGTCGTATAATGCAAATTTTTTTAGGAAGACTCTATTGTGTAAATTTCAACAAGATCGATTGAGTCTATCGAGAGTTAGAGCTAAAATAAGTGTCAAAATGTTTCTCTACAAAGTGAGTGAAAAAGCAATTTTTGAAAAAATTGCCTTGCTTTTCTATAAAATAATAATAAGAAGACTCAAACGTTTGGTTACTTGAACCAAGCTCTTTCTTTTGCAGGACGCACTAGATCTTTAGCTTCATCCGTTTGTCTGCTGGAAAAGGTTTTGTGTTTCTCTACACAAAAAAGAAAAAGCGGCTGTAAAAGGATTTTTGTCATAGACGAACAAGCGAGAGATAAGCATTGTATTCGCAAGTGATATATTTGAGTAGGCCGTCAGACGCTGAACAGAATGTGCTATTCACTTTTTCGTTCCTCAGAAACTTCATTTTTTGTACGATGACTCATTAAAAATCATAGATTTTCTTACCTTCAATCTCTTTATCATAGCGGGCTGGTAAGGTATCGGGCTGAAATTTTCTGTGGTAGTCGAACACATACTAAGGAAGCGAACAAAAACAAGAGACTTTAAGATCGGATTTCAGGAAATGAATTTCCAGAAGAAATACGATTCACTCATATTCTTATTGTAATTTTTAAAAACATTTTCTTTTTTTGTACATGAAGATCTAGAAATAACAAAATATTTATAAATTTGTTTTTATATCTAGATTCAAATAACTAATTCAGGTCAATTAATAAATCTTCGTGAAGAAGATTTAACAGATGAGAATGATGAAAATTCTAAAGATTTAACAACACCTATTATTTCATCATTATCATCATCATCATCATCTAATGATAAAATATTTGTTGTTGTTGATATGAAATCATCTGAAATAAGTCAAACAATTGGTTTTCTTCCAAATGATAATAGTGAAATAATTCTACCATCATCTATTAATACAGCATTTAATACATTAATATTTTCATTTCGTACACGTTCAAATGTTAGTACACTTATACAATTTGAACAAATAAGTTTAAATATTGATGTTGAAGGATATTTAGCATTAGTACTACGTGATAAACAAGCTCAACGTATATTATCTAATGATGAACAAAAACCAATTAATGATGGAAATTTATATACAGTATATTTACAACGTACAGATAAAAATCTTGAAGCATGGATAATTAAAAATAAAAATTTTAAACCAAATAAAATTTCAATTGAACTTTCAACATCAAAATTAATTATTGATAATTTTATATTTGGTCCACGTAGTCAATTTATTGGTTGTCTACAAAATATAACATATAATGATCAATTATTAATATTTAAACAATTATCTTTAAATCGACAACAATGTCCATCAAGTAGTATAGCTTTAAAATCAATAGAAATTTTATCTTTAAATAATATTTATATTGATCAAATTATTTCATTTAAAGAATATGATCGTCCATTAATTATTAATCTTGATAATTCAGAAGATTTTCATATATTTTCTTTTTCATTTTATACACAAGATTTAAATAGTATTATTTGTTCATTAGCTGATAAAACTTATGAAAATTTTATAACATTAAGTATTTATAATGAACGTTTATTATTAACATATGATGATAAACAAAGAAAACGAATGAAAATTTTAATAAATAATTCAATATTAATTAATGATGGTCGTGAACATAAATTAATATTAAAAATACTTAATAAAGATGATTTTATATTTGAAATTGATGGAAATATAAATATGAAAAAATTTCATACTAATTTACGTATTAATACAATTTATATTGGACAATTAGATAGTTATATAAAAGAAAAATTTTCAGATTTAGATGGTGATAATTTTATTGGATGTATTAAAGATATTCTATTAAATGAAAGATCAATTATTAAATTAGATCATATACATCATATAGGAAGATTAACTAATATTTGTCAATTATCAAAACGTGGACGTAAGTTTTTAAAAAAAACAAACATAATCAATAGAGATTTTTATTTTCAAAATTGTAAATTTCGATTAGACATGTACAAGAATAATTCTAGTCTCGATCTTGATACTACTAGATTTGTTGAGGCCATGAGAAAAGAAATTATCTGAATCGAAGCAAAAAAAAAAAAAAAAAAAAAAGAAAATTTCTTTCCACACATCGCTCGTCTCGATGTAAACAAACAGTATTTCGTCCAGATTGTAATCTTCTACGAAGGCCAATTTAGTCGTTGGCAAATCATCGCCATCAAAATGAGTAATACATTCTGTATAAATGTATATTACTTGTTGATATTATCTTCAAATATGGACCATTTAATCATTTTTTAATTAAATATTATATATATTTTTTATATTCAACTGATAATTATTATTATATTTATTTGACAACTAATGTTTATTGAGTAGACAAGTTAAAATTAGTCAATAAAATATGTAAACATCGAAAAAATTTGTTTGTTGGATAATCATTATTATCATCAAGTTTTATATTAAATAAGAAAATATAAATAAAGATTTTTTTGTATTTTCAGCTAATCATAATATTAACTTTAAACTATAAACTTTCAAGAATGTATTAAGATGTATTCGAAATATTGAATTATTAGCTTGAATAGATTCATTCCGAGATCGTTTGTTTGTTTTTCTTTTTTGATAACGCAGTAGTTCATCATATCAAATATACAAGTCTGAGTGTGAGAACGCATCTAGTTCTAAGTTAATGAATCTAATAGATTCTCCTATCAATAATATTTGAGTACTATTTATCGAAGGACAAATTTTTTTTTTTCATTATAAAAACACACAACTGTTGCTCTCAAGTTTCATGAGAAACTTACAATTATTTCAATTGTCTGGCAATTCTAGACAAAAAAAGTAAATAAAATAAAATACAGGAATAAATAATTACGCTATGAAATAGGAAATATAAATATACAAAAAAAAAATATTATTTTATATATTCACAATTATTCAACCAATTGAAAAATAGCAGAAATTAAATAATTAAATTAATGAATTACAATATATTCTAAAAGAACTAGGCGGCTGACTTTTTTTATATACGAGCATAAATTTTAATCAATTAAATTACAGATTCTCCGTCGATTGAATAATCTTATTTTTCTTACAGTAAAATCCTTGACCACAATTAAAGACAAAAAAAAAAAAAAACTCGCATGGATTTATATTCATCGAGAAATTTTCTTCTAATTAATATTTTAGGTAAAAATGTTGTATCATATGTATCACCTGATGTAAGTTTTTCAATGCGTGATCGTCGTGATATAATTGAACTTCAAGTTCAATCAAATGATGAATTTCGTTATTGTCAAATGCCAATAAAAACACTTTCAACAAATGGTGTTATAACATCAATGTATTCAAATGATGATCAACGTGGTTTAATTCTTTGTTTAAAAGATGGTAAATTACAATTAAAATATTATTCACCATATAATAAAACATCACAAATTTTATATAATGATAATCAAACAATAAATGATGGTAAACAACATCGTATATTAGTTACAAGACAAATACCTGATACATATTCACATGATAATATTTATGTACAAATTGATAAACGTACAACACCTGTATCAATACCAGAACGTTCACCAATGTTTTTTGATGTTGTTACTATTGGTGGTCCATATCGTTTAATGCCAGATACATTGAATCAACCATTTGTTGGTTGTTTTGCTAATGTAACATATAATCGTCATCCATTATTACCTGAAGGTGTATTAAAAGCTGATCGTTATGATTGTTTTTATCAACAAGGTATGATGTGTGATCGACAAATTCCATGTCATCAAAATATTCGACCATTACCATTTTGTGGACAAACAGATTGTTCAATGGTTTGTGCACCAACATCTATTGATATGGGTAATACAGGTTTAGTTCGTTATTTAACACAAATTGGACCTGGTCAAAATGAACAACTTGATTTAACTTTTTTTACAACATCAGCAAATTCAACATTATATATATCGCGTGATGGTCCTATTCAAGTTTCAATTGTTCTTCAAGTAAATATATAAAGATAAAATATGTTATATAGATATATACTTGACATGAAATTTTTCTATTTTTTTTTTGTTAAGAATTATTATCCACGTTTAATTATTCAAAATGGTCCTGCTATATATACATATGATTTTCCTAGTCGTGTACGAGGTGATCAATGGCATACATTACATTGTCAAAAAACATCGAATACAGTATGTGATTAATCATGTTGATAACAAAATATTTTTCATCATTCTATATTTATCTTAATAGCTTGATTTGACATTTGATTATGAAACTCGACGTTACACAAATATAACTGGATATTTTAGTTTATTTGGTGATAGAAAAATTCATATATGTGGAACAAATTTTTATGGTTATGTTCAAGATGTAAGTAGAAAAAAAAAATAAGAAATTTATCTTTTCTTTTTTTTCTAATATTAAAAAAAAAATAATATATTTAGATTATTCTTGTTTCGGATAATCATCGTGAAAATTTAATACAAAATTGTATTCATAATCCATCATTAGTTGATTATGATCCAAGTGTTGGTTGGAATAATCGTGCAGCTATACCAGAACGTAAGTCATGTTGTTATTTATTTTTTTATGTATATTAGAAAGACAATGAACTAGATATTGATCTGTCCGTCAACCATCGATCATTCATATTTATGTACATTACCTAAGGTGTAATCATATTATCTCGAAATGACTGACGAGGCACATATTTTTTTCTCATCCAGTTTATGCTTGCGTTTCGCATATATAGTTATTGAGACTCATATGTAATATATAGATATATATATATGTATCCATAGTCAATTAGCATAAAAAAAAGATGATACGTGCTCTAGACGGGAGACTGTTCGGGTGGTAAAAGGAAGCCTATATATGTATACTATTCTCTTGCATCATCTTATTTCGGATCAGCTTCTCTATTTATTTTTATTGGATTGATGGTCATCTATTCTATTTGTATAGGTGATTTAAGGTTATGGACATTTTTTGCTTGAAGTTTAATTTTTCTGTAAATAAAGACAATTTATTAATAGAGAAGAACAAACAAGAAAAAAAATAATAAAGAAAAATCATTAGATGTAAATAAATATTCATTTGACATGCTCTTCTTTTCTGTTGGTGCGCGAACGTCAAATCCTATTTTTTTGGGCATATTTCTTCTCTCTCTCTCTTCTTTTTTTCTACATCAAGTATTATTACTACTATTAACATCCGAAGTCGAACTAGCACACACATACACGATCGTTCTTTGTGTGGTTGGTGTACTTTTTTTTATGTTAATAAGAAGCTTTTTTCTTGTTCCTTTGGTCTCTCTCTCTCTCTCTTTTTCTGTCTATCACTTCTCCTTTCCGTTCGTACGTGTGTGCGAACGCATAGCCAATACATATATATATATATTCACAGTAGAGGAGAAGAGGAAAAAAAACATAAGAAGAGGACGACAATGAGGACAGCGATTTTGTAGGCTCAGTATTACTAGCACCGAGAGAGAGAGCGAGAAAGCAATAGAATGCATTCGAGATGACGTTAATAAAGCATCTTCCTTCATCTGGTTTATGTTGTTGTTCTTACTAATACAAGATATTACTATACTACTCTATTCTCACATATTTTCTTTCTGTGTTACTCATTCATCGTAGATTTTTCTCGGTATATATATATATATATATATTTTTCTCTTTCTCTGCCATCAACGTCGTCTTCGTCGTCGTTTTGCGGTTTAGTGTTTGTTTGCATCTTACGTTATTCTTTCTGTTGCTTTTTTTTCTTCGCATTTACCCATTACGATTACATTGTGAAGAAAGAGAAGAAAAAAGAAGAAGAAGAAGAAGAAGAGGAGGAGGAAAAAATACGAGTCCGAACGATATTCACCATCATCAACCGGCGCCGTTCGTCGTCGCATCTCTGAATTATTATTGGCAAGAAGAAAAAAAAAAGACTTTCTTTCCTCTTTTAACTTCGTACCATTTACCATCACAATCATTATTGACATTGTTTGATTCTTGAAATACAAAAAGCCACAATCAACGACATCCACTTTACTCATCACTTCATACTAAAAAACCACAGAAAAGGCAGAGAAACAAAACGCAAGAGGAAAAAGAAAAATATATACAACATATATATATATTCGACGTTTGTCGTTTATAATGATGTGATTCATCCCTTCGGCATACAATCACACGTTTCTTTTTTTTTCCTACATTTTGTTGTATTTGTGTTATACTGAATATATTATATGCAATGCAAACTTTAATACTGCTACTATTGATAATAAGTATTATTATTATCGAAGCTGCACCTTCACCACCATCTCAATATGATGGACGATCGGTAGGAGCTGTGCCATGTTACCTTGGCTGTTGTAAGTTATATTATATATATATTTATATTGTTTTCTCATTTATTTCTTTTTTCTTTTGATAAACCATAAATTTTACTTCATGATAGATTATATATACGCATGTATTTTATTCTAGGGACACCATGTGAAAGAATCAACTGTTTAAATGGTGGTTATTGTATTCAACCAGCAACAACAACAGCTTTAGCTTATTGTCAATGTCCTGCTCAATATACAGGATATCGTTGTGAACAACCACGTAAGCAAAAACATAATTCTTATTGAAAAAGACTGTTGAATATATATATCATTTATTATTAATAATACGATAATGTAGGAATTGATAATGAAAACCTTGAAAATCAAATAGATCAAACTGTTTTGAGAATTGCATGTTTTATCAGTCGATTTCATTCATATGTCAAAGTGAAAAAGTTAGCTTTTCTTTTTTTCTTGAGGTCAAGGATTTTTCTTTTCTTTGTTATTTCAAGCATGTTAAATTCTTTTTTTTTGTTTTAGTTTCAACGGATCCTTGTGTAAATTATCAGTGCAATCATGGAACTTGTCAAAAAGACCGTACTAATCAACCGTATTGTTCATGTTATGAGGGCTATGGTGGCTCACGTTGTGAAACTCAAATCGGTGTGTAACAAAAGAGCACGCACGTTCAATAGTAGCAGTAGTTTTTCTTTTCTTTTTTTGGTGTTCGTTTGCTTTTACTCAGCTAGAGGTGACGCAACAATCATCCGCAACCGACTTCCATTAGCGAGTAGAGTAGAGTAGAGTGTAGAAAAAAAAAA